GAAAGTCCTAAAATGTTTCGCCTCAAATAAACACAAAAAAGAACTTCCATATCAAGGGACATTACGTAACGCTGCTGTGTAACAGAAAGTCACCACTTGTAAAGCAAAAAGTTAGCTAAAAAAATGCCGTATTTCTAACATATATTTCCAATATAGGAATATTTTGTGATCAGTTATTTTCATATGTATCGTTTCTAAAAATAAATACGTACAATAGTACCACGGACAAAGTATATTAACAGATATCTTTTACTGTTTTAAACAGTTACGAGAAGTTTAAAAATTGTTCAAAGCAACAACAAAAAATTTGGACAGAAAAAAAATGTTGCAAATAAACATTTTTACCATATAAATACGTTTTAAGGTGTGATCTTTATTTAAAAAAACAGTAATTTCCCACGCTTATGTAAATGTGTCAATGATAAAACCAAAATTATTACAAACATCGTACGCAAAGCACTTTGTCAAAGTTTTGAGTTCGTTTAAGTAAAGTTAGTATTAGTCATAAGCTAGTAATAAACAAAGCTGGCTTTTGATAAGATAGGGCTAGTTTTGAGATTGGAAGAACAGCTTTTGGTTACCGTTAGTGGTTGTAGCTATTCAAAGCGCTATGGTGCTTTTAGTACTCGCGTGGCAAGGGGAGGGGGGGGGGGGGTAGGTGCAGGTAGGATGAGGTAGGTTCAGGTAGGCTGAGATAGGTGCAGGTTGGCTGAGGTAGGTGCAGGTAAGTGCAGGTAGGCTGAGGTAGGTTCAGGTAGGCTGAGGTAGGTGCAGGTAGGCTGAGGTAGGTGCAGGTAGGCTGAGGTAGGTGCAGGTAGGCTGAGGTAAGTGCATGTAGGCTGCCGTAAGTACTGGTAGGCCGAGGTAGGTGCATGTAGGCTGAGGTAGGTGCAGGTAGGCTGAGATAGGTTCAGGTAGGCTGAGGTAGGTTCAGGTAGGCTGAGGTAGGTGCATGTAGGCTGAGGTAGGTGCAGGTAGGCTGAGATAGGTTCAGGTAGGCTGAGGTAGGTTCAGGTAGGCTGAGGTAAGTGCATGTAGGCTGCCGTAAGTACTGGTAGGCCGAGGTAGGTCCAGGATGGCTGAGGTAGGTTCAGGTAGGTGCAGGTAGGCTGAGGTTGGTGCAAGTGGGATGGGGTAGGCTCTAGGTAGGTGTGGGGCTCTTATTTTTCAGGTGTTTGCACTGGGTGTTTGCTCGCCACCCTCCCAAGGTCAGGTGAGGCTGTACCAACTTACCTGTCCTCTGTTACAACTTACCTGTCCTCTGTGCCAACTTACCTGTCCCCAGATCACGTAATGACGGTGGAGAAGGTAAGTCGGGTAAAAAGTTAATCGGAGACATTTTTTTTTACACTCACTTTCGGCGGTCTTCACACTCGCGTTAAAGATCAAGGCTGTATTAAATACAACTTTAAAATATGCATTGTAAAACAAGTCATTGTTTATAGCGTTAATTGGCTGTTCTTCTCCACACTTCATCACTTCATTTATATATATATATATATATATATTTATATATATATATATATATATATATATATATATATATATATATATATATATATATATATATATATATATATATGTGTGTGTGTGTGTGTGTGTGTATGTATGTATGTATATATGTATATGAATATATATATATATATATATATATATATATATATATATATATATATATATATATATATATATATATATATATATATATATATATATATATATATATATATGTATCAAATAGTTACGTTGGGTTTTTCTACACAATATTTATTTAATTCCCTATCTGTTGACGACAACTCCCATCACTAATGTCTGTGTAATTCACAAGTTTTTTACTCCACTAAGGTAAATAACGTCACCTATGTATAACGTAGCCTCGGGACCAACAGCCCTACAGATTAATTGTTGCAGTTTTGTTGCTGTTTTGTTGATATTTTCTTGTTTGTTTTAAATTTTCTCGATGTTTGATATTTCTCTTGATATTTTCTTGGTGTTTGTGTTGACGCTTTGTTGTTCGTTTGCTGATGTTTTCTTGAAATGGTGTTGATGTGTATATTTTATCTTTAGTCCTCCCGTGTAAATGAGTTTCTTTCATCACAAGAATGATCTTTTCTTTAAAAAGCTATAGCTTCAAAACGCCTGTTTCTTTCTATTTACAAATAAATCGTTAACGTATTGCATAAATTATCAAAACTTAAATTTATAAATCAATATCTACAATGAAATTGCTTGAGACCCTATTTAAAATTCGAACTAGTTATTATCTATAATAATAGTTTCGCTGTCTCTCTATCTATCTATCTATCTATCTATCTATCTATCTGTCTGACAAGAACGCTCTAGAGAAAAGACAAGCAATTTAAAAACATGCATAGTAATTCGAAAAACGAAGTATGACGTCGACACATTTAGCGCACAGAGTTGAAAATAATCTCACAGTAATATAATGACGTCATTGTTTCTGGCGTAAACATTGAATAAAGAGGAAATGTTGTCTAATCTAAGTGGTTTGCGTGAAGAGTTTCTTGCATACAATTCTTCGGGTAGGGGCGAAGCCCCACCCCCCGCGTAAGAACGTCTGAGCCCCTCCCCCTCCCCAACTCAAAAGAAATTTCTTCATCGATACTCTATAATAAAATTACCGCCTAATTAATGTGTCTAATCTCAAAAGTGGTTTTCTTGCAATTTCTTTAATGCAATTCTTCGGGTAGTGGCTAAGCGCGACACCAGTGTTTCTTTCAGACTTTTTCCTCCCCGGAAAGGGGTGGGGGTAATTGAAATTTTCGGGGGCGGGGGTAGAATTTTCGGGGAGGGGGGCGGACACAGGAAAAAGTATATAATTATATTTCGTTGAATGGGACGGTAGACATGTTTTTTTTTTTGGGAGTGGGGGGTTGGGGGGGGGGGGTGGGGTGGGGGGGGGTGGTGGGGTGGTTTCCTCATCGATACTCTATAATAAAATTACCGCCTAATTAATGTGTCTAATCTAAAAAGTGGTTTTCTCGCAATTTCTTTAATGCAATTCTTCGCGTAGTGGCTAAGCGCGACACCAGTGTTTCTTTCAGACTTTTTCCTCCCCGGAGAGGGGTGGGGTACTTGAAATTTTCGGGGGCGGGGGTAGAATTTTCGGGGAGGGGGCGGACACTGGAAAAAGTATATAATTATATTTCGCTGAATGGGACGGTAGACATGTTTTTTTGGGGGGTGGGGGTGGGGGTGGGTGGGGGGGTGGGGGTGGGGGTGGTGTGTGTGTGGGGGGGTGGGTTGGTTTTAGTTTAGAGAAAAGAGACAGCACTATCAACCTAGCGCCCGGTGTATCCTTCCTCAACGGGCCATTTTTCTCGTCTATAATAATAGTTTCGCTGTCTGTCTATCTATCTATCTATCTATCTGACAAGAACGCTGTAGAGAAAACACAAGCAAAATAAAAACATGCACAGTAATTCGAAAAACGAAGTATGACGCGGTCACATTTAGCATATAAATAGAGTAGCACATAGAGTAGAAAATAATCTCCAGCCGGAGAGTGCACACAGTAATATGACGTCATTGATTCTCGAGTAAACATTGTCTAATCTAAATGGTTTGCGTGAAGAGTTTCTTTCATACAATTCTTCGGGTAGGGGCGAAGCCCCACCCCCGCGTAAGAACGTCTGAGCCCCCCCCCCCCCTCCCTAACTCAAAATAAATTTCTTCATCGATACTCTATAATAAAATTACCGCCTAATTAATGTGTCTAATCTAAAAAGTGGTTTTCTTGCAATTTCTTTAATGCAATTCTTCGGGTAGTGGCTAAGCGCGACACCAGTGTTTCTTTCAGACTTTTTCCTCCCCGGAGAGGGGTGGGGGTACTTGAAATTTTCGGGGGCGGGGGTAGAATTTTCGGGGAGGGGGCGGACACTGGAAAAAGTATATAATTATATTTCGTTGAATGGGACGGTAGACATGTTTTTTTTTTTTTGGGGGGGGGGGGTGGGGGGGGGTGGGGGGTGTTGGTTTTAGTTTAGAGAAAAGAGACAGCACTATCAACCTAGCGCCCGGTGTATCCTTCCTCAACGGGCCATTTTTCTCGTTTTAAAATGTTTTGGATACTTAACTGATCTATATTTTTGTTTGGTTGATGAAAAACTATTCTGATTAATGTCTGTAGGTAGACTCTTTTATAGCATTGTAATATAACGCCCAATGCTGTCGTGAATATGTTTTACATTGCCAACAACAACACTCACACGAATGTCTTCGGTAAACTTAGCGTAAACGTTTGTATTTTTGCATGAATATAATACACAGGTTTTTTAATTATTAATTTGTAAGGTGATTAGAACACTTCATAAGTTATAACTTACTTTCCTTAATCTCCTCATTCATCTCTCTACGTTAACTTAAATAGTCACATTTTCACACAAATTTGTAAAATCATTTACAACATTTTCTAAAAATAAATTTATTGTAAAAAATGTTAAGTGGCGAACGAACGCGTGTACTTGTTTTTAGCTCCCCCCCCTCCCCCTTAAGAGGGGCGCACCTAAGATTAGCTCTCTTAGACCAGCAGTGACAAACATTCAGGATATGACCGTCCTACCATACGGATGTTAAATTCTTTTACTTCAATAAAAACACGATGTTTTCATTCCCTTTCAACGGACGGCATTTCGTCTCTGTGAAAAAAAAATTAAAAAACTTTAAAAAAGTCTTTTTTTTAAATTATGATGATACTTTTTTTTAAATTATGATTTTTTTAAAATTACGATTTTTTTAAAATACTTATTATGAAACAGCAACAAAAACAAAGAAAAAAAACTCTCAAAGATTGACTGTGCGGTTAAAATCTAACCCTCATACATCGAGTCAGACGTTGAGAGCGCAGTGAAATTTGAGCGAATCTAGAACGTGTCGAGCCTATTTACTTCCCTCCCCCCCCCCCACCAAACTTACCTGTGACACAACCCCACTGTACCTGACAGACAGGTCACGTGATGAGACCGGCTATTATAAGGCCGTGCAGATAGCTGTTGTCGGGTCTTCACGGCGTTTTATAGCAAACAAACAACACACCGTTAGTGTTGTCTAAAAATAAAGGGGATAGAATACACTTATCTCCTTGAGAGAGGAGCAACTAACAATATATAAGAACATAGTATCCTGTTGTGTATAAAATTTTGTAGTGGAGCATTCTTCGTGAAGGAAAATATAAAATGTTATAATATTTCTTATCCAGGTAATGTTTTAAAATTAGCTGTATTTTTAAAAGTATATAAGACAAGACGCAGGCTTGCTCTACGAAGAATGAATCACGCTAGTATAAAATACAAGTTTACAAAGGCTGTCGTCCAGGCCTCTATCTGCTTACACCACACCCACACCTAGCGACACACCCCTCACACCCGTTTTTATACACACCCACACACTTTCTTATAAAAAGATACAATACGATACCAATCACGATATAAGAAGATACGAATACAAATACATAAACGTAATTGTATAGATTGTAATGCGATGTATCACACTTAAATATAGTAGGCCTAAACTGCAATATTATTACGATACGATGCAATACGATACAGTGGAATACATTATAAAATATGATACGATACGAAACAGTACAATTCGACTAAATATCAAACTGTATGTGACACAACTAATACGGTACAGCAGAATACAATACGATGCTGTATGATACCATACTAATACAATGTGATGCCCTACTTTGTAATGTTATATTCCTAACAGTTGCATAAAACACAATGAATATTTTTTACTTATCTTTACAATTTTACAAGAGATACGAATCATCAACAGAGAGACAGAGAAGGAGAAGAGAAACAGAACGAAAACTATGTTTAATATTGATTCTATTAAATATTATAAACTCAAAACCAATTTTAATTTTCCTAGCATACAGTTTTAAAATGGCCATGGACTTTCATCCATACGATGAGTATCAATATGGCGTTTAGATTTCTATTTTTACACTGGATCAAACCCGCGATGATATATATATATATATATATATATATATATATATATATATATATATATATATATATATATATATATATATATATATATATATATGTATATATATAGTCTTAGCTGTCTATATATCTTTTATTGTTTTTATTACTCTTTAGATCTCCCACTATAGGGGCCTACTTTTTTATATTTTCTGATATCAAAATGTATACACTTTTCTTTATCTATACCTAAACTGTGTAACTGTACCAATACTATTTCACTGGAGACATTTGGACTGTATGGTCATGCCTATAGACGGGTCGTGACTTGGCTACAGATGAATGTATTATTTCTATTGCACTGGTCATGAGAATCTACTTCATCGTCTAAATGTTCCTGTTCTGGACACGCCTATTACATGGGCAGCAACTTAATGTTTAGGTGTGGGAGGGCGAATACAATTAGTTATGGGGAGGGTGTGTGTAAGAAATCCGTGTGTTGTTGACATTTCTCACTTGTATGTCCAAGATCCATAAGGAGAGGGTGTGTGTAAAAAAGATTAGTTTAGACCAGGGGTCTCCAAACTACGGCCCGCGGGCCGGATGCGGCCCGCGAAGTCCTCTCATCCGGCCCGCGGAGATCTTTTTATCCAAGGAAAAATCGTTTGTTGGTGATGGCTGAGGGACTTTGCCCAGAAAAATCAAAGACATGCCTGGAAGAAACTGGCCCCAGAACTAAAATTTAATAGTTAATGCGGCCCTCGGACTGAAAAGTTTGGAGACCCCTGGTTTAGACGACAGAATTCGTGTGCGGGTCATATTTCTCTCTTGTATGCCCACCCATTCACAGAAGACACCTCTGCTTTAAGTAATTCTTTGAGTAGTAGTTTAGCAGTAATAAAATTATTTGTACACACGATTCAGGCTAAAATACCATACCTAAATACCCGAATCAAAAGATAATTTAGATAAAAAGCTGATATACACAAACAACAAACGGATGCAAACACGCAAGGAGCTCGCCTTGAGTTCGTTTATTAAAAATGTATAACATTGTTTAAAGCTTTTTTAGCGACCTAGCTTTTTTTGTTATTAAGTGTCATCTTCTGCTTTTTATTATAATTATTACACAACTTACTCCAAATATTTTGTAATGAAATAAATATAAATCACAGAAATATCTTTGGTACAAGTACTGATATTAAACAGCAGCTGTTAATGCCATGAACTTAGTTAAAATGAACTGAAAACAAAATAAAACTGCGACATTGAACATAACGTTTGAACTAAATTACACAATTGGGTGTCGTTATTAAGTTTAGAAAATGCCTTTTATAGAAATAAAATCTCGATCAAAAACGTTCTTTACTTTGAGCAGTACCAACGTATATTGCACTAGTTTTTTTTTTAATTTACATTGTCTGTATAGGTTTTATATTAGGCTTCTATATTTAAAAATAATTCTCTTTCATTCCAGGGACGGCGTGGGTTTAACAGTTAGCCAGGAATGAATTTCCAAGGATTACTTTAAAGCCACACGGATCAAACCCCAGTTCAGAACAGGCAAATGTGTTAATTGAAATACAACAGGAAGAATTGAAAGCTTAAAAACCTACTCGTTTTAACCAGCATTCACGCCCTGTTGCATATTCGCTACACTGTTCAACTTCAAAACCGTCTCGTGGTACCACTGTACCATAGTATATGTGTGATTTTTGTACCAGAATATCTTTGTACCTTAATTAAGTAATACCAGGCGCATCAGTGACCATGGCAGCAGCTAAAGATGAGACGACAGCTGAGCCGAAGAAACGAAGTATGGGAGCTCAAATCCTGCTGGATAACCTGCTCATCATCTTCATCGTCATCGCTGTTTTCATCGGCGTGGGTCTTGGCGTCGGTCTGCGCGGTGTCTGGGGTTATGAGGAGTACAGGAAGATCTTCTACCTGGAGGTAACTCAGCATTTTTTTTATAATGGTATGGTCAAGGTGGTAGAGCGCTCTATTGTTAAAACCGAAAGTTTCGAGTTCGGTTCCCGCGTTGAGATATTCTCCTTGAGTCTGCGCGATTAGATAAATACGTAAGAAAAAGAAAAGCGGCTAGACATCCCTTCACATGCCTAGGTCACAGAAACTGCCCTATCAACCGTAAAGTCCAAAAGATAACCACCAAGTTGTATATTACCTGCGGACAATGAGCAATTTTAAATATGAACCGTCAGTCACATTGCTTCGGAAAATATCTTTATCGTTTCAAAATACATACCAGGAAAGTAATTGTTTCCAGATATATATATATATATATATATATATATATATATATATATATATATATATATATATATATATGGTCTAGCAGTAGAGCGTTAGACTGTAACACGAAAGTCTCGAGTTCAAATCACCGAGTCCACCTATCCCTGATCGGATCGTAACTCACGTTAGGGACAGTTAAGGCGACTGAAATTGCTACTGACCACATTATCCCTTCATATGCCGAGGTCAATAAACATGAGAGCTCTACTTCATCTGCCCAATGGATCTATCGACTTAAAGATGAATCTTTACTGTCATATGTATATATAGCCTATTTATATAATTAATATATATATATATATATATATATATATATATATATATATATATATATATATATATATATATATATATATTACTTCATAAATTACACAGCTGCCATGACACGTTATACCTATAAATAGTACACACTAACAGCTGTTGTCACGTGACAGTTCCCAGGTCGTCTACTACTGAACATGTTGAAGATGTTGATCCTTCCTCTCATCATCTCCAGTCTCATCACTGGTATGGCGGACATCGGCTCTCATGCCTCGGGTAAGGTCATTTACTGATGGGCAGGTCTTTAGGTCATTGTATATTGAGGTCAGTTATAGCTGAGTAGGTCGTTAGGTCATTATCAGGTGAGGTCAGACAGCTGAGTAGGTCAGTAGGTCATTGTCTGGTGAGGTCAGTCACCGCTGGGTGGGTCGGTAGGTCATTGTCTGGTTAGGTCAGTCATAGCTGAGTAGGTCGGTAGATCGTTGACTTGTTAGGTCAGTCATAGCTGGGTAGGTCGGTAGGTCCTTGTCCGGTGAGGTCAGTCACAGGTGAGTAGGTCCTTAGCTTATTGATGGGAGTCATTTAAAGTTGAGTAGGTCTTTAGGTCACCGACTTTTTGGTCGGGTCACTAACATCTGTATTTTTCATTAGGTCACTGGTTTTTTTGCTGGGGTAACAGCTGGATAGGTCGTTAGGTCACCGACTGTGTGCTTGGCTTGTTAAGGTCATTCATGGTTGAATAGGTCGTTACGTTACTGACTGATTACAGAATGTTAACAGAACAAGTTAAATGGAAATGTTATAGCACAGTTAGGGTAACTTTAAGTGGTAGATAATGGAAATATTTAGTTCTGTCGAGTTATGGAATGGTGACATATAATACCTGTAGAAACTATGTTGATATTTTTAACAAATCATCATTAAACACCACCAATCAATATAATTACCTAATAAACTCAACAAACAAGCATAATACATAACGACAATAAACAAACATTACAAATAAACCATTTTTAAAAATCATCAGCTAAACACCACCAATAAACATAACTACCTAATAAACTCAACAAATAAATATAATGACAATAAACAAACATTTAAAATAAGCTATTTTTAAAAGGGTGAACTAACAGACGAAAATAATATAAACTCCACGAAGTTACAAGCCCTATTATAAAGTTATCAACAAAGATCTAAAAGATCTATTGATTAGATATAATGTGTGTTTGGAAAATTTAAAAAACCAGGAAGTAATGAAAAAAAAAATATTTATAAACATTTCTTAATAAGTAACTACGCTATGTGCGAAATAAATTTTCAATGTTTTAACCCAAAAGTCTTATGTTAGTTCTAGATCTTTTGCTTATTTTTACGTTTTCAATCTCAGACTTTGGATCAAAAAGCTGATTGCACTGTTTATTTCTTGATTATATATTTATTTTACAAATATTTTGGCTGCTGAAGCCTTGAATCCTCTTCCCTAACAAAAAGTTGATATACATGAGTGAGGTAAGAAGCCCCCACTTATACTTACAGCCACGACTTTGAGTATTTACAACGACCGTGTTTGATCAGGGTCTATAAGCTGACTGTTTGCTTCTCTCTGAAGAAACGTATATATCTTGTTGATTTAGTTTGCTTGACTTTTATTTCCTTGGAAATTTTTAATGGCGTCGTAGATTTTTTTTTTCTTGGAATGCGGAAAGGGAGCCGTACTTTAAGGAATAAAAGAATTTTTCTTTTAGACTTTAGACTAAGGCCCCAATTCAGATTTGTTTTTATGAAGTTTTTATTCCTTAATTTATTTTATTTGGGAAATAAATTTTACAAGTTTACTAATGGTCCTTAAGTTTTGAAAGGTTGAAATTTTCTTTCTTAGCAGTAAAGCCTATGAGTGCTTCCAAATCATGAGGTATTTTATCTGTGGGTATTTAGTCTGAGATATTTTATCTGTGAGGTATAACGTATCTTATACATTTTATCTGTGGGGGTATTTTGTCTCTCATATAATTTTGTGTGGAGTATTTTGTCTCTGAGATATTTTATTTGTGAGGAATATAGTCAACATATTTTTTATAATGATACTGTTCTAACATATTTTGTTCTGGGTTATGTTGCCATGACATATTTTGTTCAAATGCATCTTTTTCATGAGATGGAATATTTTTGTTCGTAGATTATTATGGCATGTAGCACAAATAGGCCTAATGTGAATGATTTGCTGTGTTTCAAATTGAACAATCCGTGATTTACTTATAAGCTTAAAGCTGGCACGTCGGTGTTGAAAACATTTTAAAAACTGTCTTACACTAAGGGGTCGTCCATAAATGACGTCACACTCGTAGGGGTTAGGGGGTGACGGTGTGTGATGTGGGGTGGGGGTCATATGGTGTGACGCCACACATTTGGATTATGAAAAAGCACTGTTAGAAAACGAATTTTAGCCGTTATTTCGCGTTTTAAAAAACTGTTTTAATAAATTTTTAATAGAAACTAGAATACCCGTCATCCGTTGGATAACTGTGGGTTTCGGGGGTCATCCATCAAAGAACATCACGTCTGTCACTCAGAGACATAGCGTCCCTTCCCGGCGCCCGGGGACAAACTTTTCGATTTGAACCCCCCCCCCCCCCCCCCCCGCAAGATTTCGATTTGCAACCCCCCCCCCCCTCAAACTTTTGATGTGCACCCTCCCCACTCAAACTTTCGATTCGAACCCCCCTCAACCTTTCAATTTATTTTTCCAAACCATTTTGGCGCCCCAACATATGTCCCCCCCCCCGCCCCCCCCCCCCTTCCCACCCGCCTCCCCTCCCCCTCCCGCCCCCCCCCCCTCCTCGCTACGCTACTGCAGTGTCACTTATCGTCACAAAAAACAGACCCCACATTCAAAAATATGTTTTTTATCTTTTAAAAACACCGAAAACACCGATTTCGGACTATCCCTTCATATACTGACGTCACAGGTGACCTACTCAACTCTACTTCACCTGCCCAGTTTCCCGCCAAGTCTCAGACAACATGTTTTTATCGTTTAAAAAACGATTCCAGCCGAGCATGTCTCTGACCACACTATCCTTTCATATGCTTAGGACAAAGAAACAGATGAACTCTACTTCACCTGCCCTGTATCCTTCCAAGTTCAGATAGGCAATTTTATCATTCACATCTAAAAAAAAAAAATTGAAAAAAAAATATCATTGACATATTGGTCTAGAACCTGTGCCACCCGCATGAGAGCCGGCTACACTACCAACTTAGCTATTTATTCGGGACGTCACAAGTGAATTTTTATACTATACTTTGAGTCTCCTTATGCAACTTGATTTACGCGCATAGATCTAGATCTAAGTCTAGTAGTAGTAACTTTCAAATTGAAATTTTATCTTAAATTAGCCAAACAAAGATTTATATAAAATAATTAAGGCCTGAAATAGATTCTAGATGTATTAAGGCCTGAAATAGATTCTAGATGTAGAATTTACATTAAGTCTAGATCTAGAATTTACATTGAGTCTAGTGACCTAGATCTAGATCTAGGCTAGATTCATAACTAATTATCTTTCCTTCGACAGCTGATCTTTAGATCTAGAGAAATTTATTGTAAAACTAAATGAAAAAAGACAGTTGAAAATTGATATAAGTGTTGGAACGTAATAAATACAGCAAACGGACGTATTGTTAAAGTTAAAGCCGACAGAAAATTAGCTTTAGAACGCGTTAAACTTTTGAATGGGAACACAATTTTCTTCGATAGACGCCGCCATTTTATTGTACTAAAGAGTAAACAAAAAAACTGTGACGTCACGGTCCCGCCGAGTGTAGTGGTCGTTCTAATCTTTTTTTTAAAAAAATAGGGTTACTCTACGTATGAATAAATCAATAAATTAATTAACGTCTTTAAATAAATTTGTGATTAACAGTCTGTCTGCATTAAAAAATTATTCTCTACCTACATATTATTTTACAGCTCTCCAGATAGAGTAGAACATATCACAATACTCGATCGGACAAACAAACAAATAAATATTCAAACATGTAAACAAACTTGACTTTTAGTAGTATATAGATTGATTAAAATACTCTATGTTGACAGAGTTCAGATAAGATTTTGGAAAAATATCGATGTTTTAAGAAAAATTTTGATGAGGCGTTGTAGGCTGAGGTGTGACGTTTATTTTATTTTTTTTTGGGGGGGGGGGGGGGGGGGGGGGCTGGCTTTTTGCAACGATGTGTGACGTAGGGGAAGAGGCAAACATTGTCACAAAAAAGCGTGACGTCATTTGTAGATGACCCCCCCCCCCCCTTAAGTGGAGTGAATTGTGTGTGCTTGTCCTCTCTCCTCAGATATAATAACTATCGCCTAAACAATGAAATGCAAATGTAAATAATTGATTCAACCAATAGTAAACACACGCACACACACACACACACACACAAGCGCGCACCCACTCCCACACACTCGTAAATCAACACATTGACAGGTAATCTTGTCAAGAAATTCAAATCGCTTTTCTCAACGATCTTGACATTGACAAACTAAAAGGGGGGGGGGGGAGTTGGCAGGGGGGAGGGTAAGGAAGTTAGGGGTGAGGTGGAAAGGGTGTCTGGAAGAAAATGGGGGGGTGTCAATCTTCCTTAAAAAGATTGAACGTTTGCTTATGCTAATCGCTTGTGTTAATTGTAATCTTAATTCAAACTAGATCTTTTTTTTCATTAATTATATTAGCCGACGACGTAAATTTCGTGTCGATCGTTTAGGTCAGGACTAGGTTTATTGTTAGATTTATGGTCTGGACTTAGGTCAGGGCAGTTGGGCGAGTTCTACCTATGGTTGTTGCAGACATTAGTTTCCTGTGGGAGGTAACTGAGTCTTCGGGAGAAAGGGGGGGGGGGAGGGAAATAGGCAGACACTGGTTAAAGTATACATTTGCTATAACATGTAGATTTTTTTTTCTATTTCGTCCGGGGAAAGGCCTCATGGAAACAGTGGTGGATTACTGCCTAATGATGCAGTAATACAGGATGGTACTCACCTCGTATTACATTTTTACAATGTTACCGCCTGCAATGTTATCATCGATTCCTTGAACTCCTTCGTCCCCAGGCAAGCTTGGCGCCGCCGCCATCTTCTACTACATGACGACGACACTGGCCGCCGTCATCACGGGTATCATCCTCGTGCTGACCATCCACCCCGGCAACGCCAGTGACAGGAACAACATCCGGCGCGAGGGGGCGTCACTCGAGGCTGATCCGTTAGACTCCCTCCTCGACCTCATCTCGTCAGTAGATATTTTTTTAATTTGTTTAATTTTTATTTATTTAATTTTGATTTTTTTTTTGTTCCGTGGTTTAGGGTTCAGTTTTAGAAAAGGTAGAGTGTGAGTTTCTGTGGGTTGTTAGTCTTTTTACTGGGTATACGACCGTAGCAGCTTTAAAGGGAGCGCTCTAGTGGAGAGCCGTAGAAAATGAGGTAAGGGCTGGCGGAATTACATGGGCGCTTCTAACGAGAGCTGCTTAAAACCGAGTCCGGTGGAGAGGTGTGGTTGCAGCATATTTTGCTTTCCGGGGGTCACAAAGAAATAAATGAAGTGAAGGCTCGGACGGGATGCTATGTTACACTTGCAGTGTAGAAATATACTTTATTTATTATTTTAATGAGAATGTTAGTATAATATATTGGTTATTAAGAAATTACCTTCAGTTTCTTCCAGTCATCTCTTTGAGGGGGGGGGCACCTCCCCCCCCCCTCCGAAGAAAGTCTACCGCCCCCCCCCCCCCCGAACGAAATGAAAATATAAAATATATATAAAATATATACTTTTAACAGTGTCCGCCCCCCGCCCCCCCCCCCGAAGAAAGTCTACCACCCCCGCCCCCGAAAATTTCAAGTCCCTCTTCCCAACCCCCCCCCCCCCCCCGGAGAAAAAATTCTGGAAGAAACACTGATTACCTTTTGTTTTGTCAAATCTAATTATATTGTTGTTGTTTTTTTCAATGAATTTGTTGATACTGATAAACTCTAAAGTCTACCAAATATAAACCATAACTTTAGCCCTTCAGGTTAAAATATCCATTGATATTTTTTTTAATATACCCTATGGTGGAATGAGCAATAGACTGGGTATAGCACTGGGTCTGAGATAACTCTAATGAAAAATTCTCCTCTGTTTTCTTAAAACAATCCACGCATTACAAAGATATATATATTTAAAGCAATGTGTAACTAACTGGTTTAAACTTGTTTGTTATGTACAGTTTAACTGTTAAATATTTTTCTATTAATAAATGTTTGTTAAAATTTAATTACAGTACATACTTTTTTTTTTACAGGCAATGCTTCCCAGAAAACTTGGTATCCGCTTGTTTTGAAAGAGTGAGTTAAATTGTTCAATGTTTCAGTAATGCATTTCTTTACATGATCTCTCTAATAACTGAATTAACTCTCGTGACAATCTCAAACAAATGTAACACACAGAAAAATGCTCTGCCAATATATAGGAGAGTGAATGATTGAAGCCACTCATGGATTAACAAACTGGGCTAGATAGATCCTCATATCTCCCAGTAAGGGGCGCATGACATCCCCCGACATGAGAGGGCAGTAGGCAGTAGCGTAGCGAGGTCTGGTGTCACCCAGCACTTAATGGTGTCAACCCCCCCCCCCCCCCCGTAAAAATTGTATATGTATATATATACATATGTGTATATATATATATATATATATATATATATATATATATATATATATATATATATATATATATATATATATATATATATATATGTGTGTGTGTGTGTGTTAGTTAGTCCGCACTCCCCGCCCCCCCCCTTGGCTACGCCTCTGGCGGTTGGCATAGTGTTTAAATTTAACAACCTCCGCTTTTGGTGCGCCCCATGGTCAGTATACCATGACCACTCAATTGTCATAATCAATACAGGCAAAATCTTTACCACCAGTATCCAGTATTCAATCATGATTTATTGATAATTGTCAGCTTATTCCAACCTTCTATATCGATTATGTTTGTATAATCATAACTTAGTGTTCTTCACTAGCATATATTATTTTATGTATTCCCTTAATTTAATGCAACCTAATGTATCGACTATTTGTAAGTGTATCGACCATTTAAATATTAGTCTATCGACCATCTAATACTAATTAATCGACCATCTCCAGGTGATAACAAAGTTTAAAATCGGGAAATCCGACCCTCGGATCAACGAAACCCATTACAAGCTGTATAATCTTACAGAGACGGACAACTCGTCGTTTGCTACCTACAGTAAGTCTTTACTACCTACAGTAAGTCTTTACTACTGTGGCAAATATGCTCTAGCGAGTCATACCGCACATAAATAGTTATAGCCGCAGCTACAGAATGACCTGTTTAGTCTAGGGTTTGTCTCGTTGGACAAGAGGTCCCTTAATAATTAGTGTTGTGCGTTTATTAATGTTGTGTTATTAGTATTGACTGATTGCCGATATTTGGCTCAGTGAAAAGGGTTAAAATTACGATTGAGTAACTATCAGTTTCACAATCATTTAACTTTTATTAATACATTAATTATTGGCATAGTAATAACGATACAATTTAAAGTAGCCTGGAAGGGGCGACTGGTCTTCAGGGCGGCGTGGTCACACTTCCTCACACACAGACCTCTGTACTAAGTTTTAGCCCCAAGCTGGCCGGCTGTAAAATACATGTGACAACTTCCTAACATATGTGTGATATACACATTCATTCAGACACATACAAGTTTACAATTGTTACCAAGATAATACATTTACATAAGCCTTACATAAGGCCTACAATAAACATTACTAGGAAAGATGCTTTCATTCATACATTGTTTTATACTCATTCCATACTTACTAATTAATATTATAACATTACAGCTAATAAAAGTAAGTGTTAATTACCTTCCAAAGAAGCCACACAGTCCTCTCCACACGTTGCCAAACGCACGTTTAATTTCTCCGAAGAGAACAAGTGCCGTAGCACCAAAATAAGTATGATATATTATGTTGGCTAGTGCCTTAGCACCAAAAAAACGTGTACCTCCGAAGAGGGGAGAAGGTAGAGTGACCGGACTGTAGCGTCCCTACCCTACAGGTCACATGACTTAGGCTCCGCCCTCGTGACCGCAGTCTGAGGTCGAGCCCCGGTCAGCCTTACAATACCGCTGGACTCAGGTCCAGGTGTGTACCGTTACCTGTGGGGTAGCAAGAAGGGGGGAGAGGTGGAGACACCATGATAGATATTTATAATCTATCATAACAACTACCTCCAGTAAGTCTTACATAGCCGGTTGTTTACTACCTCCAGTAAGTTTTATATTGCCCGTTGTTTCTGCCTACAGTAAGTGTTATGTAGCCCAATGTTACAGTAAGTGTTATATAGCCCGATGTTTACTACCTCCAGTAAGTGTTATATTGGACGATGTTTACTACCTCCAGTAAGTGTTATATAGCCCGATGTTTACTTCCTACAGTAAGTGTTATATAGCCCAATGTTTACTGCCTACAGTAAGTGTTATATATATATATATATATATATATATATATATATATATATATATATATATATATATATATATATAGCCCGTTGTTTACTACCTACAGTAAGTGTTATATAGCCCGCTGTTTTCTACATAAATAGTAAGTGTTGTATTGCGCATAACGTAATTCATATCAAATTACTGTATAATTACATTACAGCTTCAATACTGTATAATTATAGGCTTATTATTGATGATTCACAATATGATTTATCTCTAATTTAAGATAATTCGCATACTAATTACTGTCCATTCACATTTTCAATTATTGTCTAATTACTGACATGTTAATTTTTATTACAATCCAATTTATGTTTAACTATTGTCTATTTACTATCTAATTACTGCATTGATTGTAATCTGTCCTTATTCTAATTTCTGTCTAGTTATTATGTTATTACTGATTAGCATAGAATGTTTGTGTACTTGTTAAAAAAACGTGTCCCCACACACACATGTGTGGGGTCGGCATGATCGAGTCTGTAAAGCTCATCTTTGCAAAACCGAAAATTCCCGAGTTCGAACCCTCGGGCAGAAGAGGCTCGATAGCTGGGGACAGCAACTTTTCTAGGAGAGAAAAATCCAAAATTTAACAGCTGCTGCCTTGTGTGTAGTTTGTTCTTGGTTGGACAAAGCAAATCCAAAGAGAATCAACGTCCTATATGGCGAATAACCAGGTGACCAGTATACTTAAATGTGAAAAGACTAAAATTAAGAACGAAGAGGAAGAAAGACCTGACCATATTATTACTGATTACCTTTGAATGTTTGTCTATATGTTGAAAACACCAGTCTGTTTCCACACTGACCACTCCGTATATCACTGTCCCCACACTATCCGTGGACCTAACCAAGCCCTACATTACTGATTAGAATGTTTGTGTACATGTTACAAACGTGTCTGTCCCCACACTAGCTCTAAACCTAACCAAGCCCTACATTACTATTTACCATAGAATGTTTGTGTACATGTTACAAACGTGTCTGTCCCCACACTAGCCGTGAACCTGACCAAGCCCTACATTACTATTTACCATAGAATGTTTGTGTACATGTTACAAACGTGTCTCCCCACCCCCACCCCCACCCCACTAGCCGTGAAACTGACCAAGCCATACATTACTGATTAGAATCTTTGTGTACATGTTACAAACGTCTCTGTCCCCCACTAGCCGTGGACCTTACCAAGCCCTACATGGCCTCTGACAGTGGGATGAACGTCCTGGGTATCGTCGTGTTCTCTATAGCGCTGGGCTGTGTCATCAACCATCTGGGCGAGCAGGGCAAGCCGCTGAAGGACTTCTTCTCCAGCCTAAACGCCGCCACCATGGTGCTCATCAACATCGTTATCTGGTGAGTTATCTACGTACAGACTTTATCCTCAACGACAAGACTTGATTTCTTGTGTTTTCCTCAGTCAAAGTCAATGTCTTCGAGGAATCTCTTCTGGGGGGGGGGGGTCCCCCGAAGAAGAATTTATATATGGAAATGGAATTTATATAGAAAATATACACTTTTAATAGTGTCCGTCCCCGTCCCCCGTACCCCCACCCCACGAATATTTTAGACCGCCCTTCCCCCCCATGAAAATTTCAAAGCCCCCCCTTCCCCGAAGAAAAAAGTCTGGAAGAAACACTGGTTTTCTACGATGTAAAAATGCGTTTTCGTAAACCAAGGTCAATATATCATGTGTTGTCTTTGATATTTAAATTTTAGCATTGACAGACTCTCAGCACTCGGATATAAGTTTTTTTTCAAGCAATGAAAATGATACTTGTTGTAACATTTAACCAATTCATATAATGTTAAAAAGAAACTAAGACCCACACACACACAAAAATAGCACGCATGAACAGTAATACCCACTCCGATAACTGCTTAGCATGCAGTTGTACTCTGATATATCCTCTTTATAGGCGAAGCCATCAACAAATGTATTCTACTATATTTTAACTAAACCTTTTATTATACGTCACTTTTATTTAATTAATTATCAAATTATTTAAACCACAATCCCAGATTATATTTTGGCCACGTAACATACATTAATACTTCATTCAAAAACATGTATGCCAATCATCTCTCTCTGTTACAGTCCTTATTATCACGACTCAGAGGCGTAGCGACCCTTCCCGGTGCCCGGGGACAAACTTTTCGATTTGCACCCCCCCCCCCCCTCAAGATTTCGATTTGCACCCCCCTCAACCTTTCAATTTATTTTTCCAACCCATTTTGGCGCACCCTAAGGTCGGCGCCCGGGGACGTATGTCCACCCCCCCCCCCTCGCTACGCTACTGTCACGACTAACACTTCCTCTCTCCCAGGTACACCCCTATCGGCATCATCTTCCTCATCGCCTCCAAGTTCATCCTGACCAAGGACATCGGCGGGGTCCTCAGCGACATGGGCATGTACATGGCGACGGTCCTGGGCGGGCTAGCCATCCACGGGATCGTCACCCTCCCCGTGCTCTACGTGATCTTCACCAGGAAAAACCCGGTCAGGTTCGCGGCTAACATGGCTAAAGCTCTATGCACAGCCTGGGGTACGGCGTCAAGGTAAGGCTAGAGGTGGTGTTAGATTTTGTTGTTTTTTAAAATGGGGTACGGCGTCAAGGTACGGTTAAAGGTGGTGTTAGATTTTGTTGTTTTTTAAAATGGGGTACGGCGTCAAGGTACGGTTAAAGGTGGTGTTAGATTTTGTTGTTTTTTAAAATGGGGTACGGCGTCAAGGTACGGTTAAAGGTGGTGTTAGATTTTGTTGTTTTTTAAAATGGGGTACGGCGTCAAGGTACGGTTAAAGGTGGTGTTAGATTTTGTTGTTTTTTTAATGGGGTACGGCTAGAGGTGGTGTTAGATTTTGTTGTTTTTTTTAATGGGGTACGGCTAGAGGTGGTGTTAGATTTTGTTGTTTTTTTTAATGGGGTACGGCTAAAGGTGGTGTTAGATTTTGTTGTTTTTTAAAATGGGGTACGGCGTCAAGGTACGGTTAAAGGTGGTGTTAGATTTTGTTGTTTTTTAAAATGGGGTACGGCGTCAAGGTACGGTTAAAGGTGGTGTTAGATTTTGTTGTTTTTTTAAAATGGGGTACGGCGTCAAGGTACGGTTAAAGGTGGTGTTAGATTTTGTTGTTTTTTTTAATGGGGTACGGCTAGAGGTGGTGTTAGATTTTGTTGTTTTTTTTAATGGGGTACGGCTAGAGGTGGTGTTAGATTTTGTTGTTTTTTTTTAATGGGGTACGGCTAGAGGTGGTGTTAGATTTTGTTGTTTTTTTTTTAAATGGGGTACGGCGTCAAGGTACGGTTAAAGGTGGTGTTAGATTTTGTTGTTTTTTTAATGGGGTACGGCTAGAGGTGGTGTTAGATTTTGTTGTATTTTTAAATGGGGTACGGCGTCAAGGTACGGCTAAATGTGGTGTTAGATTTTGTTGTTTTTTAAAATGGGGTACGGCTAGAGGTGGTGTTAGATTTTGTTGTTTTTTAAAATGGGGTACGGCGTCAAGGTACGGTTAAAGGTGGTGTTAGATTTTGTTGTTTTTTAAAATGGGGTACGGCGTCAAGGTACGGCTAGAGGTGTGTTAGATTTTGTTGCATTTTTAAATGGGGTACGGCTAGAGATGGTGTTAGATTTGTTGCATTTTTAAACGGGGTACGGCTAAAGGTGGTGTTAGTTTTTGTTGCAGTTTTAATGTGGTACGGTTAGAGGTGGTGTTAGATTGTGTTGCAGTTTTAAATGGGGTACGGCGTCAAGGTACGGCTAAAGGTGGTGTTAGATTTTGTTGCAGTTTTAAATGGGGTACGGCTAAGGTGGTGTTAGTTTTTGTTGCAGTTTTAAACGGGGTAAGGCTAAAGGTGGTGTTAGTTTTTGTTGCAGTTTTAATGTGGTACGGCTAGAGGTGGTGTTAGATTTTGTTGCAGTTTTAAATGGGGTACGGCTAGAGGTGGTGTTAGATTGTGTTGCAGTTTTAAATAGGGTACGGTTAGAGGTTGTGTTAGATTTTGTTGCATTTTTAAATAGGGTACGGCGTCAATTTACGGCTAAAGGTGTTGTTAGATTTTGCTGCATTTTTAAAGAGAATATTTAAGTTTTTTTTTTTTTAATTATCTGAGAGAAAGTTCATTGTGCGAATTAAGAAAGATTTGATACCCTACAAAAAAGGGACGGCGTTGTCGAATTGTAGAGCGTTTGTCTTGAACTTACCCGAATTTCTCGAGTTCGGATCCCTGGCTGGAGTCTGTAGAACGCCCCTGAGTCCACCCAACTCTGATGGGTACCTAACTCACGTTAGGGAAAGTAAAGACCACATTATCCCTTCATATGCCAACTTCACAGAAACTGGTGCGCTTTACCTCACTTGCCCCATAGACCGTCAGGTTTGAAAGGGGAACGTTAGTTATCGCTCAGATGTATTGTTTCGCTCGTTCTGGTCAGTGTTTCTTCCAGACTTTTGATATTTTCGGTGGGGGGGGGGGGGGCGCCTGGAAGAAACTCTGGTTCTGGTGTATAAATAATACCTTGCTGGGGTTAACTCCAACATTATTTTTGGAATGAACAGCCCTTCAGATAAAAAAAGAATTGAAATAAACTAGAAATGTACTGAGTATTTATTTGGTCATTCATTCTTATAATACTTTGTTTGAGTAAACTACAACACTGGTTTTGGATTGAAAAAACCCTTCAGCTAAAAAAAGTTAAATAAACTAGAAATGTACGGAATATTTATTTGGTCATTCCAGAGGGTTAGCGGGGGGGGGGGATACATATGTCCCCGGGCGACGACCTTAGGGGGCGCCAAAATGTGATGGAAAAACAAATTAAAATCTCATTTTAGATGCAGTTTTGCATTATAAATATAAAAATATATTGGGGGGTGCAAATCGAAAGTTTGAGGGGGTGCAAATTGAAAATTGAAAGGTTACTCCCGAGGGGGGCGCCAAAATGGGATGGAAAAACAAATTAAAACCTCATTTTAGCTGCAGTTTTGCATTATAAATATAAAAAATATATTGGGGGTGCAAATCGAAAGTTTGAGGGGGTGCAAATTGAAAATTGAAAGGTTACTCCCGAGGGGGGCGCCAAATTGAAAGTTTGTCCCCGGACGCCGGGAAGGGTCGCTACGCCTCTGGGTCATTCATCCTTATAATACTTGAGTTAACTACAACGCTAGTTTTGGATTAAAACAATCCTTCAGATAAAAAACAATTGAAATAAACTAGAAATGTACTGAATGTTATTTTGGTCATTTATTCTTATAATACTTTGAGTAAACTACAACACTATTTTTGTATTAAATTACCCTTCAGATAAAAGAAAAATTGAATGAAACAAAAAAATTACTATTTGTTTGTTCGTTTGTTCACTCATCCAGCTCCGCCACCCTTCCCATCACCATGGACTGTCTAGTCAACAAGAACAAGATCAACATCAACGTGGTGCGGTTCGTGGCGCCAGTTGGTGCCACCATCAACATGGACGGAACCGCGCTCTACGAGGCAGTGGCGTGCATTTTCATCGCTCAGGTCAACAACCTTGACCTTAGCGTGGCTGACGTAATCATCGTCAGGTACAAAAAGTTGTTTTTTTTTAATAGTAATTTTTTTGTTGCTGTATATGTTTATTTTATTTATTTTTTTTTTATTTTTTTTTTTGGGGGGGGGGGGGGGGGGGGATTTTGTTTAGATAACCTGTAGCAAAAAGTTTCTTTGTGTGCTATTGTATTGTCATACAGTTATCATTTGGATAACGCGGAAAGTATTGGCTAGCCAAATTTTCGATGTAATTGATACTTAGTGTTTTTACAAGCTTTTATTTAACTTGCTTTCTCTGTCTGTCGTGCTTTTGGCGGTCGTTTGGATCCAACCTGCCGTGTGAAATTTTAACTAATTCGAACTGGCCGATTCGATTCAATCGTGGTTCTTGGGTCTTGACTCTAGTCCCAGTGAGAATGCGATCTGACATTAAATTATATATATTTGGATGACTTAATATTTTTGATGTGAAATTGAATATGTTTTTGGCAATTTAAAAAAAAATTACGACGGCGTGTCAAGGTTTCACCTAGATATCAACCTAACATATTTGAATTTCATAAATCTATAAATTAAATAGTGTAAAAGGTTAATAGTTTTCTTTTTTAATTAGAGTTATCGTATTATTCTTAAATGTAAAAAAAATATTTTACATATAGTACAAATTCTAGAAAATATTCTTTTAATTTGTTTAGTAATAAATAGTATTGTAATTTTTAAATATCACCGTTTATTTTTATTTTTATTTTTTTAAACTGCTTTTTGAAACTTAAGTAATAGGTTGTATCCCTTAGATAGTCAAATTTTACTTTATGGGAAGTAACTAGCTTCATTCATTTATTTCTTCAATTCATCATGACTTCACCCATTTCATTCATTCGTTTTTTCGTTGACTCGTTCATTCGTTCATTCATTCGTTCGATCATTCGTTGTTCATTTGTTCGTGCTTACATTTGTCATTGTTTGTAGCCTATCTATAACTGAACGTTTACATAATCAGACGTGAAAATGTTTTCTATATCCCTAATACTATGTTCTAAATCAACATGTCCTTTACTCCAAAGCCTGACAGCTACGGCCGCAGCCGTGGGTGCAGCTGGTGTCCCTCAAGCTGGTCTAGTGACGCTGGTCATCGTCCTCACGGCCGTGGGTCTCCCCTCTGAAGACGTCACGCTCATCTTGTCCATTGACTGGCTCCTGTAAGTCTAACCAGTAGCGTCACAAGGGCGGGGGATGCAGGATACACCGGAGTGATTCCATTCAGGGGGTTGACACCAAATCAAAAAATCGTAATGTTTACCAACAAAACATTGCTTTATCCAGAAAAAAAATAGTGGGAGAGAAGAGGAAATCTAAACCGAAAATACAAGACTTTAAGATGGGGTGGGGTGGCACCCTCACCTACCGTAGCGGGTGACACCTGACCTAGTGACGCCACACTGAGTGTAACCAAACATCCCAAACACTCGTAGCAAAGGAAACCCAGCATCGAAAAAAAAAAACGACGTCGATAAAAAAGACGTGGGGAAAACTTCAACAACTGTTTTAGTCCCCCACCCCACATAAGCCACACAATAAACATTAGCACTCACAAATTATTATTTTGCAGAGATAAAACTAATTTACTTACCATACCTCACCAAACAAGATAACATTAATATTTATGTGACTATATCTACTTACCTGTATTTCACATAAAAACCATGTATTTTAACGCTGAAATATGAATCTCACTACAATTCACGTTTGTTTGTTTTTTTCATATATAACAATACCAGTTACTAAAATAATGAAAAATTTTAGAAAAACTATAAATCAAAACATTTGAAATACTATTTTTTTTTCTGTTTTATCAGAGATCGATTTCGGACAGCCATCAATGTCTGGGGTGACTGTATCGGCTCTGGTATTTTGGATCACTTCTTCAAGGACACATTCGAGAGGGTGAGTTGTGGTTTTTCAAAGATAAACTTTTGTTTTTTTATTTTTCGAAAAATATCTCCTTGTATGAGCAAATATAATTTAAGATCCAAACTAATCGTGATTATGGAGATTAATATTATATAGCCTCCTCGTACTTTCATTTTAATAAAATTTCTAAATTACTTAAATATGCGTTTTAATTAATCTCGACGACAATAATATTATTTTCTTTTAGGCATCTCTTCCGAATGGTGGGGCAATGCAACCGACCCCATCATGACTATATCCACTGCTCTCTCCCACCCACCCTCCCCCCCCCCCCCTATCAGCAATAGAAAATAATTAGAAAAAAAATAAAAATAAATAAAATAAATAAAAATATAATAAATAGGGAAAGATAATTGATTTAAATTTTTAGTTTCCCGTCTTTCTACCAAAACCCAGAACGCCAACACCAACCACGACGACACCATCAGCAACATCGTCAGCAGCGGGAGCTCATCCATCTCCAAAAAGGACGACCTCAGCGAGGACTCCCCGCCTAGCTACAGTGGCCTTGGGCATGAGAACGAGGCTTTCGAGGCAGACAACACCCAAACGAAACTATAATTTATTGTTTAACTATATCTGACCAGATTTAGCAACCGATGCTCGCTTACAACGAACACAAGAAGTATAATTTGGTTGATCTTTTGTCTATGTTGTTTTAAAATTGAAGCTAAAATTTACTATAATTTATTGTTTAACTATATCTGACCAGATTTAGCAACGGATTCTCGCTTACAACGAACACAAGAAGTATAATTTGGTTGATCTTTTGTCTATGTTGTTTTAAACTTGAAGCTAAAATTGTTGATTAGTTTTTTTTTTACCTTTATGAAAAATTTACTCTGTGGATTTTTATTATACCAACAGGGTCAAGAAATAAAATTGTTGAAACTTTACTTATGTCATTTTTATGTTAAATGTTAAAACCACAACAAGAAAGTACTGTTTTTATTTTATTAAAAAAATAATCAAAATTGATTTCGTAGTACTGTGTGTTTATGTAAAAAATTATTTAAGTGCAGGTAATACTAGCAACGTCACAGCGTGAATTATTTTTGTGTCTTTGGAGTCAGTAAAGGAGTCTTCACTACAGTTTTTGTAAACTGTATCGAGAATTAATTGCACGTAACATTTTTTAAATGCAACTTTCATGTTCCCACATATGCATCAAATAATCTAAAAGTAGCTTTCCTTCATGACACACGGCTGATACTGCAGCTGCTTTATATAAACATTTTTATAAACATTTTTATAAACATTTTTATAAACATTTTTATAAACATTTTTTATAAACATTTTTATAAACATTTTATAAACATTTTATAAACTTTTTTATAAACATTTTTATAAACATTTTTATTAACATTTTATAAACATTTTTATAAACATTTTTATTAACATTTTATAAACATTTTTATAAACTATTTTGATGATATGTAACAAGGGCAAGGCTGAGAAGCAGTCATTTTTTGTTTTAAATATTCACCGCCCCCCTCCCTCTATTACCTAAAAAGTTAGAGCCCCCCTCCCCCCGCCCACACGCACATACTTAAATGATGTCTCACCTCAACCCAGAAGCGTAGCGAGGGGGGGGTGCTGACCGCACCGGGTGACACCATTTAGGGGGATGACACCTGGCAAAAATTAGCAAAATATATAGAGAAAAACTTGAGGGGGGGGGGTGCAAATCGAAAGTTTGAGGGAGGGGGTGCAAATCGAAAATTTGAAAGTTTGTCCCCGGGAAGGGTCGCTACGCCTCTGTGGGTTGACACCATTAAGTGCCGCACCGGGTGACACCCGACCTCGCTACGCCACTGCCTCAGCCTATCATACTACCACACCTATTTTTATTTCAAAGAACAATTTCTTAAAACAAAATTAATAATTACTGGGCTCGATCAAGATTGAGTGTAATGATCAATTTCGATTTTAAAAAACAAACATCTTTTCAAAATACGATTAAAATAATTTAAAAGCTCTTGAAAAAACTAGCAATTTTAAAAGAAAGGGGAGGTGACACGCCTGAAACGTCGTTATTTTCGCGGGGTGGGGGACTTCTGACTTTTTGTGATCACAGCTTGGTGGTTGTTTGTTAAGGTAAGTGAAAATGACGAACAATATTAAAAGATAATCTATGAGAATGATATGGTGTTGATTGTTTATTGTTTGGTTTTACCTTTTTTTGAAGAAGGCGAATAAATCGGACTATTAAAAGGGATCATCCAGCACTTTTTTTACAATTTTAACACCCCCTACCCACCCACCACCCACCAGTGTTTCTTCCAGACTTTTTTCTCCGGGGGGCACTTGACATTTTCGGTGGTGGGGGTAGACTTTCTTCGGGGGGGGGGGGGGGCGAATACTGTTAAAAGTATATATTTTCTATTTAAATTATATAAATTTCATTTCGTTCGGGGGGGGGGGGGTAGATTTTTTTCGGGCTTTACCCCCCCCCCCCCCCCGAATAGATGCTTGGAAGAAAAAGGCATTCAAACACACCACCATACCAATATATCAGTCATCACCCCCACCCCCTCCTCACATAACATTTCACTTTAAAGTACCCTCGATCAAATTGCGCTGTGCTGCTTGAAACAACTATTTCGTTCAAAAATATTAATTAAGTTGGGTCAAGAAAATACAGGTGTATATTCGATATCAATCAGTGGTATTACTAGATCATGTTTCACCAAGTGCGGTAACTGTATTTTTCGGTTTAGTGTCACTCCTCTCCCCCGACTATTTTGCTATCCTAACGTTTTGACAGTAAATTTTACAATTTTAAATTTTTGTGTCACTCCGAAATGGTGTGACTTGTTGCGGGCCACCACCCCCTCCTTGTGACGTCATTGATATTGATATATTTTCCCCACATCTGTTCGCCAGACATAATGAGAAAAATCAAACACCCATAAAATAATAAATGGCCATATCGTTCGTTACTCTACTAATGTCCAACAACCCCCTTGAAAAATGAAAAATTCTGTTAAATAGCATATCAGCCCTCGACTAGATAAAGACAAATTGTTTTGTCGTGCGTCTAGACTAAAGTCGTTGATAATCGAATTTTCACGACTTTTGTGAAATTAACAAAAACCATATAAAATGGACTCCAAAGTAGCTAAAAAGTCTTGGGAACTATCTAATAATGTGGAAAGTGTGTCCAGTGTTGATGATATTTATCGATACGATTCTAAGCAGCAGCAAGATATACTTACAGCAAAGCCATGGGAAAAAGAGTGAGTTGTAAATTTAAAAACTTTCTACGTTAAAATGTTTGGAAGTTGTTTTGTACTAAATTTTTTAGCCGTTTTTTTGTGACATTTTTTTAACTTAAATTTAAAATTTTACTGGATCTAGAAATCTAGATCTAGATCTAGAGTTAGACTCCTGTACTCTATATTCTAGAAATCAAGACTCGATCTCTAAATTCTAGAGGAGTTTACACTTTTCGGACACACACCAAAAATTACGTAGGACCGAACACTTCGTCGGTTTTTGGCTCATAGAAACTTTAATTAGCATGTCTCACGCAAAACCACGGCGCCTGCACGTAAACTGTTCATTTATGAACACTTCCGTGTCAAGTACTTCCGTTTCCTTTCTCAAGAATTATTTTTAGAAATTTTTTAACGTTGCATGGTACGCACATTTCTATTTTTACACCAGCCGGATGAAGTGACCTAGGGTTGGACTTAGGTGCAAAACTTGAACCAATCAATGCTTAGCTAAAAGGTTACACTATAAATAGCTTCTATATATGTATGGAACATCGTAAATGTCAAGGTTAATGGGTTTTTTCGTGCTTGAACAATAAAAAAGGGGTGTTCGCTAACTTATTTGGCCTTACATGGGAGCGGACAGCAACACAAAAATATTATTAAATAAGAATTTAGAGCATAAAAGGGGCTGGTTATTGAAGGGAAAGGGTCAAAATAAGGTCAAGAAGGCAGTGGAATGCGAAAGAGGAGGGGGAATCATGTGACCTGGCTGGCTTAGCAGCGTACTGCGCGAGCCGCAATAGAGTCCTTTCATATGACGTCACGTCCGTTCGTGATACCTACGCCCGCCGCCACAGTGGTGTACACCAGACGTAAACACAATCAGCTGTTCGCCAGCGCTGGACGTGTTCACCAGCGCTGGACGCGTTCACTGTATGTAAAGAACCGCACCCGCGGAAAAGGAAAAATACGTTAAAAAACTTGAACTCTTAGGAATTGAAGATCCTTATACTGTTATTGACAGTTTCGTATAAATAAATATGTGGACAAAATTTCTAAATAAAAATACTGTTAGTAATACTGTTTGCGTTTAGAGTTAAAGTAGCCGAATCTGATCAAATGCAGTTCTCGATACTTTGTTTCAGGTAAGGACAGTAAAATAATAAACTTCATTTTAATTATAAAAGATAACTAATAATAAAACAAATATGCTCGACCTTCACAAATACTAATAGTAAAAGACAAAGTCAAAAGTAATAATAAGAATAACAATATCTAATAGTAGGCCTAATACCTGGCTCCGCTGGGTAGACATAGAATCTAGAATCTACTTCTTTACTTAAATTTAATTACTTTAGATCTACATTCGATTCAAAATACACCCATAATAAATCAAAAGTAGTCATAATAGGCCTAATAAAGCATTTAATTGTCTCTAAGATCTAAAATCTCGCTCTATTATCTAATCATTTTTTTAGCAAACGAAATTTTCTGAAATTGAAATAGATTGTATGACTAGACTTAGATCTAGAATCTGCTACTTAAATTAAATTGTAAAAACTTTATACAAGTATGTAGTTGATATTATTGTAGTAGAAGGCTTTAATAAATTACTAAGGCCTACCTACTTTGTTGTCTTTTTACAGCAATATGTATCTGATACTGGACTGAGTTTAATTAAATTCAAATTCATATCTAGTAATTGGTCTACTAAGTTTTTGTAGCCTAGTAGTACAATCTAGATCATACCAGCCAACAACAAATAACAACATTATTATTATTTGGTTAATGATTAGGCTAATTTTTTTTTAAAATCCACTGTTTATAAAAGAAACAAATCAAGCTAGAAACATTATAAGTGAGATGGTTTAGAATAATAACAATGGACCCAGTCTACAATTGATACAATTGCAGGTCTACATAGGGCCTACAGTCTAGTAGTTTACAGTAGGCACCTAGTGTGTAGCTAGTATACTAGTGTGTAGCTGTCCAGAGTTAAGATTCTTAATGCCTTAATGCTTTCCCCTGATAAGCCATGTGTGCTATAAATGACATAACATGACACCGAGGTGAGAAGTGTTGAGGGGAGAGCAGTGGGACTTTCCCCTTTGTTCTCCCTGCTGGGCCCTGAGGGTCAAAATTATATAAGAAATACTATCTCTGTGGGGCTGGGTATCACGGAGGTGAGACATTTTCAGGGGAGGGCAGGGCAGACTCCTCTTAGGTTTTATTGTGGGCTAGATACAGGTGGGGGCAGCCATCATGAGGGTTGAATGTCAGTATTAATGTTTCTGATTACTTCCCTGCTGGATTATAAGGGTCTTAAATTGTATAACATGCTACCCAGATTGGTTATTACCCATGGATTATATTAGCCGTTGTAGTGTGGGTTTTGTAGGATTTAAGTGGTCTCACGTTTGCTACAGTAGATAACCTATAATATATTACTGCATTTGATCAGCTTCGTCTACTTAAACTCTAAACGCAAACGGTATTACTAACAGTATTTTTATTTAGAAATTTCGGCCACATATTTATATTATCCACGAAACTGTCAATAACTGTATAAGGATCTTCAATTCCTAAGAGTTCAAGTTTTTTAACATATTTTTTCTTTTCCGCGGGCGCGATTCTTTACATACGGTGAACACGTCCAGCGCTGGTGAACACGTCCAGCGCTGGCGAACACGTCCAGCGCTGGCGAACAGCTGATTGTGTTTACGTCTGATGTACACCACTGTGGCGGCGGGCGTAGGTATCACGTGATTTAGGTCACGTGTTTGCAAGGACTCTATGGCTGAATGGGATGAACTTTGGGAGTGTGGGAAAAAGGTTTTATACTATTAAAATTACCTCACAAACAATCAATAACACAATATAAATGCATATAATATATGTTTTTATTCATTAAATTGACTTTAAATTATTCTAAATGAACAAAAAGTGCTATGTCCGATGACGGGTAAAGGTGTCCGAACACATGTAAAACTGTATTACATGTGTTCGAACACACGTTAAGACCCCCCAGTCACTATAACAAGAATAGCTTAAGTTCTATGCGTATGAATACAAAATGACACACACATTATTAAAGTAGAATGGTTGCGGATAGATATGATACTTTTTTTTGTTTTCTATGTTAAGCGGTTACTGAATGAGACCGCATGGAATTTTTACGTTGCGTTTTTTCGCTATGTGTGTCCGAAAAGTGTAAGCTCCTCTAGATACTGATACGATTTTATAGTGTTTATTACCTAAAAATGCATAAGATTGAGTACCTCTGTTCTTTTTACGAAATGACTACTAAAAATTAGGCATTCCGACTTCCACTGTTTCGATTCGGTATTCCACATCCGGACTTTTTGATGCAGACTTTATAAAAACTCGCCCTTTTCCGAAGAATGCCGAATCTCACTGTTGGAATCGAGTTTTTAGAAATATTCGATATTGATATTCTAGTGTAGTCGTATTATATGTTTCAATTAGAAAATTACTGCCATTATGACAATCTTAAAGCCGAAATCGATCGCACGATTCTAATGAGTTTATCTCGCGAACATGTCCCGTACAGTGCTGTCACATTTTAAATAAGTTTACGTATTAAACACATTATAAGTGTCTTGCCATTAGTTGTAAGTGCCCATTAAATAAACAAATATTATTATAATAACGGTTTTATGGCACTTACTACTTCTGTTTACGAGTTATCATACATGTCAAATCCCCGAGCTAGCGCTTCGGCCTTGACAACGCCATGGCGTCCGTTTAGTACCGCATTACCTATTATCGATAAAATACGCGCACTAATGCCAATGACGTAGTTTTCGAAGTTGGAAAGAATTTAAATTGTGGGTGGCACTGTTAAAACTAGATAAAATACATTGATCAAGTTATCTATTCAAAACGACAGGCAAGAAGCTTAGGCTTACATTAACTAGTGTCAAGCATTTCACACATACCTACTTAGTACTTAGATTTAAGGCTTATACTTAATTAAGTTAATACTAAATTATACTTTATACTATATTTATAAATAATAAATAAGTTATAGGCCTATTTCTTAGTATAACTAATGCTATATGTAATATGTATCGATTGATAAAGTAAGTCTGGGCCTATTATTGGTTATGATAAGTAAAGGAGCTTGGTGATAAACTTAATTAATTATTTGTGATAATTATGCCTATGACATTAGTAAATAGTAGATCTAAATAATAAACAAAAGGCGCAGCAATTGACATGGGGGGGGGGGGGGGATACTAATTAATAAGGCAGTGAATTTAGAATGTCATGAAAAAGGCATGATAGTTATTATTCATAATAATTTAGGATACAATTTTTACATTTAATAATAAAAAGTAACAAAAAACAAACATTACGTATTTAAATCACAGCATATTGATAAGCAGATAGACAGGGAAGCTGTAACTTCTGATGTGGTACGACTTACTTAATATTTAATAAACTTTTACAAGAATTTAAGGTTTTTCTATTGATTAGTTGTACCAAAATAATAATATCAATAGGGCCTGATAAAGACCCTAGTATATTAAAGTAGTTTCCCTTTTGGACCTGTCAATCCATCATCCATAGAGCAGCTGAAGTAGAGTTTATCTGTTTCTTGACCACTGAACATGAAGTGATGGTGTGGTTAGCTCTCTGCCAAGCTATCTTTACTTTCCCTTGTGTCAGGTACTCATCTGAGCTAGGTGGATGCTGCGCTCTGCACAGAAAGACTTGTCTGAGATCTGAGCTTAAGACTTGCATGTTAGTAGTTGAGTGCTTTACCACACCATCCCTAGTTTTATTTTTCAGCATTCTTCTTATTACATGCTTCAGTATCAATCACCAAATTTATCCTATCTGTTATAGTAGCATTCTGGACATACGTCTGTTGCAGTCACTATAATTACTATAAAAGAGTGCAACACCCTTTCATAGGACTTTTTAATTATATGCAGTCATACTTAATCTAATTTTTTTCTATATTTCTATTACCCCCACCCTCTAGTAAAGTTTCAATTTTAATATTAAAAAAAAAACATAGACTTTCAGTCTGCATATTGACCTATATAGAACAGCACCCCTCACTTTAATTTGACCTGATTAGTTCTAATTATCCTTCATCAAATTTTGATTTTACTTTCATATTTCTATTGCCCACACTCTCTAGCACTAATGTGCAAAGTTTTATAATTTTATCTCGAATAGCAGCAGTGGTATGCAAGCCAAAAGCCAATCACACAAATCCGATGTTACAGTGATATATAACAAGTTTAATACATAACTTTAAAAATTCATATAAAAAAAACTATTAGGCCTAGAATGATAAATTTGGTATTTTTATCAATGGGGTATATTATAGGATTAATCTGTGTACATTTTATCATTCTATGATAATTAGGAAAAATATCCCAACATTCCTACTAAAAATATAAAATAAGTACTAATGACTACTTCGAAGAAACTTCTTCTTCCCCAGCGCTAGTCTGGACAGCAGATGATGCAAAACACTATGACCCTAATAGCTGTGCGATGGGCTCAAATTATCCTTATTTAGCTGCGCTATGGGATCAAATTACCCTTTTAAATAACATTTAGCTCTTTTAGCTGTATTCTTCCGACAAAACTATCCATGCTGTGTGGTCGAGCAGTTGTGCTTTGATCGGGTCATAAGTATTTGAGGGTTCATACTCATAGTACAGTTACTGTATGTCTAGTAAAGAGATCTTGTCTATAAATATACATTATTTTTAAAAAATCTATTTTAGTAGCCCATTTAAATCTACTATTTATCATGTTATCCCTGTCACATCAAAACAACACAGTTAGACGACAAGAGAAACCAGGTCATTATAATGCTATCAGCATGCACATCTTTTGCTAACTAAAAGCTGCCTTCTTTTTATGCTTATAGTCACTTTATTTCACTTTCGCAGGATCATTCAGTAATAATTCATTCTGCTATGGGGGCTGGGGGAGGAGGGCAGGTAGTTTTGAGAATATAGTTTTAATGCATTAACGAAGTTTAATGCCAATACACTAATACACTAATTTTTTATTTATAGACTAATTTTAATAGGCTAATAAATTGTTTATTTGGCCTACTGACTACGGAATAGTAGATCTAGACTAGTAATTTACTTCTTAGAGTAGGCCTATTTAGTATTATGCCTAGAAGTTTTAGTAGATCTACTTACAATTGATATTTACACCTACTTCTAGGTAATTTAATTAACCTGTGTATTACTGATCACTGCTACCCTACTTTCTCAGTTAAGTGGTTTTTGACAAACAATTATGTGTTCTAATAACCTTAATATGTCACAGGCAAGTAAATTGATTTTGTTAAAGAATGTTGATTTTTTAGGCATACTTTATTGTTGTGATAAAAAATTATTTAATTGAATGATTAATCATGAATGAGATAATGTGCCATTCATGACTAGAGTACCCAGGCTCAAGACAACAAGTTTTCCCATACTTTAAAAGTAATATGTGTTTTTGATTGATAGGTAATTGACAGGAAGTGATTCATTTGTACAGTAATGTACTAGACCCATCAATATCAAAATTACTGATTTTATGACTTGTAACTTTAAAAACATTTTTTCTTCAAATTTTAATTTTAAAACCAATCATTCTTGTTTCCTCAGTCCACATTATTTCAAGCACATAAAAATCTCTGCATTGGCATTGCTGAAAATGGTAATGCATGCCCGATCAGGCGGTAACCTTGAAGTCATGGGTCTTCTGTTGGGGAAAGTTGATGGGAACACCATGATTGTTATGGATGGGGTGGCATTGCCAGTAGAAGGCACAGAGACAAGGGTCAATGCTCAAGCCCAGGCTTATGAGTACATGGCTGCATACACTGAGGCTGCTAAACAGGTATCTGTTCTTTTCATGTTTCCTATGGTTAAAAACATAGGAAGGTGTGGCCTGGCAGTAGAGCTCCAGACTGCTTACCAAGGTCTCAGAAACAAGTGAACTCTGTTACACTTGCCCCATGGGCCGTCAGGTTCAAGGAGGGAACTTAACAGTTTAAAACAAAATGCTTTGATTAAATACCAGAATAAGAATTGTTAGACACATGTATAAAAAGTGAATACAAAATGTAAATAAGACAAAAATTGCTTTTATGATATGTTTTGATATCTGTTAAAATTACAAACACTTATACAAGTAGGAATTTAAAGCAGAGATTATTACTGTTATTAAACAGTGAATTATAGTTATTTGTGTCAATATTATGTGTTAAAATATATACATTTACTTTAATTTTAAGGTGAAACGCTTAGAAAATGCCATAGGCTGGTACCACAGTCATCCAGGATATGGTTGCTGGTTATCTGGCATAGATGTGTCCACACAGATGCTTAATCAACAGTTCCAGGAACCTTTTGTGGCTATTGTGGTAAATAATCCAGTGAAATTCCATTATAGAATATCACAGGTTTATTTTGAAGTCAAATAAACTGTGATCCAGATTTAGGTTGATTAAATTTATAAGATTTTTTTTTTGCCTGTAGAATAACACATTTGCTAGTCAGCTATTTTTGTCAATCGATTATATAAGATTTCTTAACATTGTTTTTTAATAAAAAGTCACTTTGTACTAATTTATAATTACTATCTCTAGCATTGAGTTATAAAAGTATTAAATTCTTATTTTCTTGTTTGAAGATTCTGTTTTGATTTTATCTTCATTTATACTTTTTTTTTCAGATAGATCCAGTGCGAACTATATCTGCAGGGAAAGTTAACATTGGTGCATTTAGAACTTACCCAAAGGTATTGAACAGTTTTCTTACTGTGCTCTAAATCTTATTATTTAATGTATGTCAGATATTTTAGCAGCTGATCACTATGAATTTAATATCCACCTTGTTGACTAACTTGACATTCTTTTTCTAAACAAACCTATTGCTTTAACATGTGCACACTATTTACTCTAGGGATATAAACCACCAGATGAACACCCCTCAGAATATCAGTCCATTCCTCTCAACAAAATTGAAGACTTTGGTGTCCATTGTAAAGCGTAAGTAGCAACCGCTTTTAAAACTACAAACAATTTTGGTTGAATGCTGTTTCAAATTTCATTGTTTATAATCTTCTTCATTTGAAACATTAGATTTTGTCTCATAAGTTTATTTTTATGCTTTCACTTCTTTCAAATTCTACATGTTCATTTATATTTAAAATATTATTTAAATTGTTTTTATTAGAAATGTTCATATTAAATCAATTTGTAATAACCTCAAAATGCACAAGATATGCAAGTTTCATGACTAATACTTGTTTCAAACATAACATAATTTAAAAATGCTGTCATCAGTTATTACCCATTAGAAATGTCTTACTTCAAATCATCCATGGATCGGAGACTGCTTGAATCTTTGTGGAATAAATACTGGGTCAATACCCTGAGCTCATCTAGCCTTCTTACAGTGAGTAAAAAATTGCTTCTATCAGTTTTTATACTATTCATTTGTACCTGTAATTACTTGGCTGTTTATTATACTGTTTTTTTTTGTCAAATTAATCCTTAAGGTCATTACCTTTTCACCTGACTAAAATAATTATTTCAGAATGCTGATTACACAACAGGAATGATATTTGATTTGTCAGACAAATTAGAACAGTCTGAATCACAGCTGGGTCGTGGCGGTCTCATAGGCACTGATGCACAGGATAAGAAAACTGAAGATAAACTCACCAAAGCAACCAAAGATGGGTAAGTATGTCAAGTTAATATCACAAACCTAACCTTACTTCACCAAATATGGTTAGTGCTAGGGGTCGACGTGGTCGAGTCGGTAAAGCTCATGGTTGCTAAATCGAAAATTCTAGAGTTCGAACCCTCGGGCAGAAGAGGCTCGTTAGCTGGGGACAGCCACTCTTCTAGGAGAGGCAACTCCAAAATCAAAACAACTGCTGCCTTGTAGTTTGTTCTTGATTGGACAAAGGCTATGGAAGCAAATCCAAAAAGAAAAGCAGGCTGAAATCGGAGGCAATGGCCTCTATGGCACATAACCAGTTGACACGTATCCTTAATTGTGATGAAAGCGTGGTCGAGTCGGCAAAAAAGCTCATGGTTGACACATTCGAAAAAAAAAGTCTCGAGTTCAAACCCTCTGGCTGATAATACTTGATCCCTTCCAACACTAAAAATTAAGAATGAAGAAGAAGATGGTTAGTCCCTTAAAATCTTGCAATGTAAAGAAAGTAAATTTTTTTTCTGGATAATTGTTATAATTATTATTATTCTTTGATTCTTATGTTAATGAAAAAAATAATATGTCCATGGAAGTTATAAGGATTTTTTAATGCAAATATTGCTCAAAACAACTAAAATTCTTTTATAACTAATAAAATTATATTGATATTCAGCCAAAATATATTGAACTTCCATTGTAATTCATTGAAAGATTTTTCCATGCCTGTTTAGTGTTTGAACTCTTTTAAATTTCCCCCCAGCTGTAAAACAACTATGGAGGTTTTACATGGACTCATGTCACAAGTGATTAAAGATCGGTTGTTTAATCAAGTTCATTGCAAACCTGCTGAGCCAGATCAAGCACAACAGCCGCAACAATAGTTTGTTTCATTTATAATTTCCATTACTTAAAAAACTGTTATGCTGGTGTTTGAAAGAAAAGGGTGCTGTTGTAAATGTTTACTTATCTAGTTTTGATGACATTTATAAGGTAATTTAGATACCTGGTGAATGTTTTGATCATCTTGTTTTGTTTTTCTGCAGTTTAACCTAACTAAAAATTCAGTCTTTACTAAACTAAAATAAATCATATACAATTTTTTTACCTTTAGATACTATTGTATATTTTCAAAAACTAATACTTGACAGTTGAAAAAAGGTTCACTCTGAAATATGTATTTATTTTAAATTAAAAAACAAACAACATAACTGCATTATGTTTTTTTCTTTGATCAATTACTTTATTATTAGCTAATCACAATCCCATTTTATTGAAGTTAAAAAATGTTTGTTTTCTGCCATTTGCGCTATAAGTTAATATTTTTTTATGTGACTTACATATGGATCAAGCTCTGTGCTTAATACATTACTAATTTACTTCTCGTAAATATAACACATTTAAAAATCAAACGCATACAAGTACAATAAAGCAAATATCAAACAAGGAAGCCAATCAGTGGGGATTTTATTTATTTAACACTGTGAAGAGATAATAATCATCCAGGCTGCACAAATAAAAACTATTATACCACTGATGATGCTGGATACCTACAGTAAAAATAAACACTATGAAAGAGCATAAATAATAAATTTAAATCAGAAGGCAATAATAAATTTGGATATATAACTAGTGAACTGTATCATAAAACATTAAAATTGCAAAAAATTTCATCTTACAAATACAATTCAATGAGCTGATATCTATAAGATTTAATTATTTTATGTTTATCAAATAGTTTTTTTTTATAGAAAAAAGGTTAGTTCCTGTGTCTGGAGATCAAGAATTAGTTAAAACAATGTGTTAAATCTGACCAGGTTTAAAAAAAAGGTAAATGGTTGTAAAGTTTTTATATATATATATATATGTATACAGTTCTTTATTATCAAAATAATCAATAATACACTAATAAAAATATGTGTGCAACAATCAGTAAGCAAACCACTACAGTAAACATCTAAATTATGCATTGGTGTAAACTTAAAATGGTAATTTTGCAATAATTACATTTTTAAAAACCACTAAAATTATGTATGGCTTAAAATCGACTTAAAGTGCAAGGCAATACTGATTTTTATAGTGTCGCCTGGATTATTTTAAGATTAAATATCTAATAACAGAAGGAAGATGAAAATTAAATGCACATCAAGTTTGGTCTTATATTTGTATTCAACGGTTACATCACCAAAAAATCTTTTAAAACGTACATTGCTTAAAACATTATTTTGAGTTTCTACTCTTTATCTATTAATTAATTTTTTTTACTCCTTCACTGCTTTCTCTTTTAAACAAGAGATATGAACTACATTGCTACCTACAAATGATAGCTTATATGACACATTCAAACCTGGGAACAGAGATTGACAAAATGGTTTTAAAGTGGTATATAAACACTTTTAAAAGCAGGTTAATACTTTACTAGAGATTACTTGAAAATGTAATGCTGAAGCATATGAAAAGAATTGAGGATAAAATCCCAAAACCAACAAGTATTGTGTTGCTTTAACTGATAGTCAGAAGATCTGAAGAAACAGTAAAACTTTAACTGGTTTAAAAAATGCAACTTTGATTATGATCTTCAGCCAAGAATTCAAGGGGATTGAATAAGTTTATCAAATAAAATTTGTATGGAAGACGAATGTATAATGTGAGTACAAATCTTACATGAATTGGCCATTGAAAGCGCAAATATAAAGGCACAAGACAACGTCAAAAATGAAGGAAACATGAGCAATATATATTTCACAGAGGAATCTCAATGAATAATAGTAGGGCCATCTGAGATTCAAACTAATACAAGTGATAAATGTCTTAAATTGTATAAAAGTAACTACTTTTTCACAAGACTTGATTGAGCTATGAAAGACAAAAAAGTTATAGTATTTGGAATTCATGAAAGTCAGTATTTGTTGTAAAGTAAAAAGACATTGTATATAAACAATGGGTTAACAATAGCTTTTTTAGGCATTTAAAAAGTCAACTTGTAATAAGTTGAATTAAAAATACATAGATTCAAATCTGCTTTGGATGGAATGAAAAGAATTGCATTGAGTTCATAATTTACAACACTGGAAATCTTGTTTTTATTGATGACATGGAATGTTATATAAAAACTGACTGGTCTTGATAGGACATTAAAAATCACTAATACAGATTTTTAATAATCTGAATGTTAAAATCACCAGTAAATGTGTTAAGAACAAAGTAATCCTTCATTCATGCATAGTTATGGTATAAGTATGTGTAGTTTTTATTCAAATCATGAAGAAAATTTATTTTTATGAAGTACAAAAACAGGCAACTACAATTCTAATAATCATATTTAACTATAGTTTGCCTTACATTTGAACATAGTGCCCATCCTAGAGTAAAACAGTGCTTTGACGTAGTGCAAGAGCTGTCATCTTATTAATCACTATCAAGGATTTTCATAGTTATCCCCCCCCCCCCCACCCCTATTGCACCCCAGCACTGCAAATACAGATGTTCAGGTTATCTAATTTAGTCAGAAAAGCTGTATACACTGTTCATGAACTGATATGCTACAAAATATTTTTTAAAACCTAAATAAATCTTTATAATAAAGGCACCAATTTTTTTTTGAGTTTTCTACTAGGCACTTTATATTGATGTAAGATGAATGATTCTTGTAAATCTTATTACATTTTTAAATAGAAATGTATTTAAACATTTAATACTAGAGTCTGAACAAACACTAAATCAACAAATATACAAATTTATGTTAAACTGAAAATAATAGCTTTTTAAATATGGACATTTTTTACATACTCTAATGACTATTTTCAACATTCAACATGATAATTTTTTCACAAAAGGATTTTATGTAAAGATTTTTAGTAGACCTATACAATTTCAGGAGACATTTTAAATATAAATTTAAGCAACAACAGAGAATTTCTTGGGTCTAACACTGTGCAAAATAAATACAAGTGCAGCTTATTGTGTAGTAATTTACAACTTTGCTTTTCACGACTTGAAAAAACAACACAATTTACAAAGAAAGATAACAGAAAAATGTTAAGATGTACATGAATTTTAAGAGAAAATAGTTGAAACATACTTAAGTTATAGCTGTCTTTTAATTGTACAAAATTATACAACTAAGAGGTTTCATTAGGAATATTTGTAATAAAAAGCTACGTTGCAGTGAATAAATTCATTCACTAATATCTATTGTAAAACTACCAAATAAAATGTTTTCTAAAACAATACATCATGCTAACTTTTTAAAAATGCAAGGTTTTTATTGTAGGAAATTATGCTTAGCTGAGTATTAGCCGAGTTGTTTTTTCATTTAATGATCTAAAATATATCTAAATATTTCACTGTTCATGGTGAAATTTAAAATCATTTGTACAAACTATTTATGGCCAACAACTACCACTAAGTTTATGAAACTACTACATTTTCCTCAGACAACAAGGGGGCAGTAGCATTATCAGTTAAAATTATTTTGGGGGCAGTAGCATTATCAGCTAAATTTATTTTAATCTCAGGTTTAGGGACAGGACTTGATGGTTGTGTCCTGCTCATTCGCTTCTTTGGAGATTTTTCTTGAACCTTGACCACCTCAAACCGGTGTGGTTTTGAAACTGTTTTATTTGTGACGGATGATCTAGGTGAAGTTGAGCGGTGAATAGTAAGATAAGTCATGCTATGTGCATCGTCATCATCTCTTGTGTATGATTCACTATGAGAGAAGGGTCTGGGTTTTCTCATCTCAATAAATTCATCATTTGATCTAGGAGGGAAAAGGAAGTGGGTGCCTATGGTCTTGTATTGCTTTTCAGAATGGTGGCTGTCTTCATCAAAATAATCAGACTGAAAAAAAAAGAATTATAAAAATATAATTAAATTCTTTTGCAGCTCATTGTTATATGTGGGGTTAATCTCTTTCTTAAACCATAGCCAAAATTTATTCACAATTAATAATAAATTTAGATTATGTAGAAATATAGAAATATGTAATTTAACATGCAGCTAATATAAAAAATAGTTAAACTAGGCTTATAAATCTTAAGTCATTAGTATATTGTGAATTAATGTTTTTAGGATAATTAAAGAAAAAAATATACTTAAATTTGAAAATGTATCTATCATAATCACAAACAGCACTAGGTTTTTTTTTAATGGTTAAAATTGGTTTCAAAGTTAGTAAAATTCAAATTACACACATACAAAACAAGATATACAGACACTGTATAATTTATTTTTAATATTGTAATACTAACGTTATTAAACTCTGATACAAGGGTTAAACAGTAATTGTGTCAAATCAAATTAACTAAAACCCCATATTGCAATAAAATTTAAGAAGACTGCTGGTGATTGATTATCTAAATATTTTTAAAACATTTTGTCTTTTTTTAATCATTAAGCGAAAAGCAACGATTATGTAATTAACAAGGTTAGTCTTATTTCTAATAATAAAAACTGAGTTAGAGTGAAGTGCAATTGTAAATTTAGTGGGGCTAAAATTGTTAAGTTCACATCTATTTTACTCCCATCTAAACACATGTTTATTTTCCAGGGTTAATTTACACTTTTTTATTATTATTAGTGCTCTACAATAGTTACCTTTCCGAGTCTCATTTTATTGTACTGTACACAATGTTGTATTTCAAAATATAAATTATTAGTCAAATTTATTTCAAATTTAATTATCTTAAAGTATTCATTTTGTATTGTTATCTACATTTAAAAATAGCAATAACTGCAAGTGTATTTCCCAAAAAATTTTGTAGACACTTTAAATGCTATTTTAAAAATATTTACTTTATTTTCCATTGCATGCCCTTCATACATAACTTAAATATAAATGTATTAATAACTTCAGTTTAGTGTTTTAAATTTTTCTGCTACAGCAATGTTAAATATCTGCATAGCAAAGTTCTGAATAAATGACATTTAATGGTCTTGGATAGTCATGCCACCAATGTAAATAGGAGTGTAAGTATATTTTTTAAAAATTGGTTTCAATAGTATTTTTAAGCGGAGAAAACTTACCCAAGGTTTTGGCTTATGTGGCATTAGATCTGTTATTTCTTTGACAGTTGCACTCTCTTCAACTTCCTGAAAACGATATTATTAATGTGTATACTTATAAACATTAATTAGATCTAATATAAATGTATGAAATAAGAAAAAAGCTTTTGGTCACACAAAACCACACAAATCTAACCTCCACAATGTCATGGAGATGTGGACCAATCCCATCAACACCCACAGCATTCTTTAAGTTCTGAAGAATTAAAATAAATTTAATAAATCATAAATATCATCTATTACTGCACCAGAACGTAATCAGTAATATAAGATTAACTATTGAAATTTAAAATACACCAAGCAGCTTAAATAAAATGTAAAACTAAATGACTCACCTCCCATTCTTGACTAAACTTCTTGCCCAATACTTGAGAATACTGCCCTTTAGTTGTCTGATAAGACTCCCTGGCAATCTAGTTAATGGGGGAGCGATATCATATATTTAATATATTTTAATATTAAAAATATTAAAAAATAAAAAATAATTTTAATATTTTAATATTTTATCTTTAAAATAAGATTATTTCAAATGATTTTGACCACATACAAGAGAATGTTAATATTGTTAATAATTTACCTTCAAGTCTTCTCCAAAAAATTCTTTCTCTGCTGTAGGTCCAGATCGTATGGGAGCTACTTCTTTAATCTATTAAAAAAATTGTATTCATATCATTGCTGGATTAAAATGAATAGAAGAAAAAATTTTAAAGCTCTGTACTACTTGCTCAAAAAGACAGTGTTAGATAGTAGTTTTAGAGGTATTTATTTGGTCATAGAATGGGTTGAGCTTAAGTTACCTTATATGTAAAGTCTTTTTAAAAAGTATGATTGCTAATAACAAAAAACATGCTACTTAAATTATTGACATTTTAAATCTTTTTCATTCAAAGAACAAATCAAACAACAACTCATATTTTTTCCCCCAACATAATTAAGAATTGGTGCCAACATATTATGTGCCTATTGTGTCCATTTCAGTCTGCTATGATTCCATTATTCTTCTACAAGACAGCAGTTTTCTCCTAAATCAGTCACCCCCCCCCCTTCCCCCCCCCCCCCAGCTATTAAGCCTCATCTAGAGTTTCCCTGAAAACAGTCCCCCCCCCCCCTCATGAAATAGAATTTATATAGGAAATATATACTTTTACCAGTATATAGAAAATAAGCCATGAATACAATAATTTATTTTAGAATATCATATAATAGTTGACTGTATTTGCTCAGTACTGACCTTTAAGACGACAATACCCATGATGATGATACAGATGATGTTGAGTATGGTGAGGAGAAGGCTGACAACCCCTAGGACGGCACTTTCTCTAGCCATATCACAGTAGTATTCAGGTATAAAGCCATTGTCTATGAACTCTGGACATTTCAACTCTCCTTTGTAGGTGAGAGCTGCTGCTCTTTGATCCGCAGTGCCATTTACAAGGGAATCATTCATAGCATGTTTCTAAATAGGAAAGAAAAAGTATTTAATACTTAACCTCTTTATATTGCTAGCTTATTGTTTGATACTCATAATTCAACTATTTCATAGACTGGTGTACTTAGTATCATCATGTTTTTACACTCTGCCCTTTTAAGATTAATTAATAAAACTATTTACATATGGCCATCTAAGTAATATCAAGCATTTACACTTTGGCCTTATTAAGATTAATTAATAAAACTATTTTAATTTATATAGCCAGAGATTTTATACTTAAATAAATCAATTAAAAACATAACCATTGCTGTATTTTCAGGATTCTAAAACTTCCGAACAAATTAAAATATTATACTTTGTCATAACTGCTAGCTATATTTATTGAAAATTATGATTTACCATTGGTAAAGTGGCCGGTGGACGAATGGCAACTACAAGAGCATTTGCCCAAAGTAAACCCTGAAATCAGACACCAGCATGTTAATGAAATTATGATACCTTTCAAATAAATACTTAATAACAACTAATTTTAATTAAATTTAAAACAAAAGAAAAGCAGCACTAGGAAAAAAATACCAGTTAATTTTTTTATTTCAAGCTCTTTGGATTATATGTGTGGGTTTTATAGTATACTTAAAAGAAGTCAGTGGTATAACTAAGGTTTGGTGCTGTAAAGGCCTACACATATTTTAAAATAACCTATTATGATGTAACTATTTGTGATGTGTGATTGTAGTCAGACACTTTAATGTCTTTTATGTGTTCTTAAGCACTATTTTCATGTCCAACAAGTATGCAGTGGAGAAAAACTGATGAATGATACACCCCTTGATTTGCCTACACCAAATACACTGTCTTAGCTATATGTTTTAAGTATAAAAAAACACTTGGTAGTTACAGTAGATGAAAACTTACAGCATTGACAGCAGGAGGTAGAAGGGAGGCTGATATGGCCACACCCACAAGAGATCCCACTTTCCCTCCCAAGATGGACAAGGCAACTCCAGCACCTGATGGGATGGCTATGAGGACACCTACAAGCAGAGATCTTAGAGAACCTCTGAGGAAAGATGGGTGACAAATATATAAATAAATGGATGCGATAACATAACAGATTAGTTTATAAAAGGTTGGTTTTTTACAGTTAAAAACATATGAAGTATGTTTTTTTAAATACTTACCTGGCAGACATTTCAATAGTTGGCCAGTTTTCTGTAGATCTCCACTTAGCGCCTGTACTTTCTAAAGCAGCAGGTATAAATCCTGTTACAAAACCTTAAAGTAAAGGGAAACAAGTTAATTAAAAAAGTCTAGTGACATTTATGCGCAATTTCCTTATGTTATCTAAAAATAGCTCTGACGTATAATGCTGGGATGCGTTCAAGCTAGAAGAACAATCGGTTTGTAGGTGTTTTTGTAATTTTAAAATTTGTGACCAAACGAGAGGATATTTTTGAAAACTTTCTTCGGCAATATTGCTCTAAATTATGGCAGGAATCGATTGGTACATGTTTCAAGTCGCTAAGTGGTCTGGTTGACGAGATATGGACCAAAAACTGCTTTTTTTCGAGGTTTTTTGGCTTTTCCGGGAAATACATGAAAGAAACCCGGAATTTTTATGGCCTATGCTCATTCTTGTAACTTGCTTAACATAATTGCTTTTGGAACTAGTCATCGATATTGCTTCGTTGAGGAGGAGATACGACTTAAAGCCCGGACACACATTCATCCATACATTCATCCATCCATCCATCCATCCAGAAATGACGCGTTAATAAACGCAATTCTCCAGAATGGAAATTGCGCTAAAAAATCATTGTTTATTAAATGTATAAATATTAAGCGGTTAATGAGCTTTATTGAAATATTAAAACTTTTTAAATCAGCTATAATTGTTTAGTTTTTTTTAAGCATTGTATTAACAATTAATATTACCAAAACAAAGTAGATTTGTAAAGTATTAAGTAGGTGAGAATATTTTTACCCATGAGAATGCACAAACACAAGCCTTTAATTTCTGACTTAAAACCCACTTTCAATAGATCATGGTTTCTTATGACAGTACCAAAAACACCAGCAATAATTGGGCCCTAGAGAAGCAAAAAAAAAAAGATTGCATAAGTATATGATAGTTAAAGACACATAAGGACTAGATTGTCTAAATGGCTGATCTTTTCAGACAGTTTAAAACACTTAGCTATATCATAGAGTAGACATTTATTTTGCATTAAAATTAATTGAAGAATAAAGAATATAATTGTTTTTCAATTCTACATACATTAAAAAAAAAGGTTGCTCAAAATTTATATATAATAGATACAGAAAACAGATAATCTAGCAGATTCAATTTGGGTTAATTGGTTCACGGCTTGTTGCTAAGATCATTTAACAATGATAACATTTTTCTTTAGCAAAAGAATGACCATATTATAGTTAATAATAGTTATAAAAATGTTATAATTAATAGGAAATAAACTGTAGCAATTTTTTGGATCTCATGCACCTGCATTTCTATTTAACTTTAATAAATCATTTGAACTGATTTTTAAAAATTTAAAGCATTGTAATAATTGTGTGCAAAATCAAAACATTTAAATAAGTGTATAACATTTATTTAAAAAATGAAATAATGTGTGAATGATTGTTTAGTACAGAATATTCCATGAGTGCTAATTTGGGGTTTTGCATATGAGTAAATTAACAGTATGCATCAGTATGTACATTCACAATGTTTTATAGAACTGATTGTCCTCATTATTTCTTATGCTTACCATCAAAGGGGACACAAGCATACTTGCAACAAGAGCAACTGAACTTGCCTCCAATAATCCCATAACAGCAACCATACTAAAAAATGTTCATTTTCAAATAAAGTGATACAAATCAACAATCGCCAAAATGGTGAATCAGTGACGGTTACAGAAAAAAGCAAAAACAAAATTCATGGCAAATAAAAAAAGCAGATTATATATTTAAAAAAAACATTCTATTTTTGAAGTCAAGTTTCTCTCAAAAAACATTTTAACTTTGCTAAATAAAAAAAGTGGTGTATTTTTAATTACAAACATCAACAAATGTGTTTAAAAAATCATGATTAGGTGACAAATTTTAAAACCAGGCAATCAAAGAAAATAGGCAGATAAAAAAATGACATACCTTGCAAGCATTACCAGCATAAGGAAATCAAATGTAAATAAAGCATCACTTTTCACTGAATCAACAACCTGAATTAGAGTGCATTAGAAAAAGTACTTAAAATTTTAACTATTTAAAACAAAATTTTATTATTTAATTGTAATTAAAAAAAATTATTAGCACAATGGTTAATTATCAAAAAATTAGTCTTTATAATTACTGTTTTAAGGATATTATTTTTTAGGACAAAAGATCTCTATTTACCTGGGCAACAACGAGTCTAGATTTTATTGACTTCTTGAATTGGCCAACTTTTTCTGCTAGTATACTTTCTCTATAACAAAATGCATATAACATGCACTTTCATTTATTCAGTTACACAACATAATGCAAAAAATACATAAAAATAAGGTTTCACAAAATGTGGAAAGTAAAGAAATTAGAAATTTCAAATAAAAATAATTTCAAATAAAAATCATCGGGTTACCTATTACATTAAATTAAAAATACCTTAAGATATAAAATTCTGGAACTAAAAATAAAAAACATACTTTTCTTGGATCTTCTTCAGCTGCTCTACTTCATCTTTCTTAGGAACTCTGGTTATGCTGACTGAAGCTGGAAACACGCTAAAGAGATTTTAATGAAAAATAATACAACAGTGGCATACAAAGTTTTCAACATCACAATTAGAATTTACATTTAGATATCAAACAATTGTTAGTTTATACTTAAGCTATTTAAGTTTTACATTAAATCATTCTAATCTTAAATAAATAAAAAAACATTTTTATTTACCAAACTTATACTACATTAACACATTTTACATTTACTAATCAAAACAAATGGGATGGTATGGTCAAATGGTAGAATGTTCATCTGTTAGCCTGAGGGTCTAAAATTTGGATCTTGGATTAGGACTCAGAAATACAGGACATACCTCTATCTAATGGGTACCTGATTCATGTTGGGGAAAGTAAAAGCAGCTGGGTATAGTCCTGACTACACCATCCCTTAAAATGCTGAGGTCAAGAAACTTTATCTGCCTAGGGATAGTTAGGTCTGAAAGGGGAACTTTTCTTTTATACTTTTAACCAAAACATACCTAACTGAAATTGCATGCTCTGTAAGGCTGTATAATATTTCTTCACACCTCTCACCATCACCATCTATAAATGTCCCCTACAGAATGAGTAAATTAACATATAAATTATGCAAATAGAACAAGGTTATTGGCGAAATACAAATGTAAACCAGTCATAATAAGCTATTAACTGAATTACTAAAATCATGATCAAACTAAAAAGGATATATAAAAGAATCAAAATAAATGATAACACAACTCATAAAAAAAAATATAAATGCTACACAAATTCAGTAAAAAAAATGAGATAAATGATGAAATTTTACAATGAAAACCATTATATTACTTACAACATATAAATTATCCTCGGTGGTATTCCACTGTACACCTGTGACATTGATCTCTAGCAAAGTTGCTTTTACTCTCTATAAAGAAACAAAACAAATGTTTTAGAATGAACATAAAATTTCTAGGAAGCCAATTATATCTCTTACAAAATAAAGAGGGCAGTAGATAGAATTAGGAGTTTTTTTAAACGTCAGTCTTATTGACCAAAAAAAAAAATTTTTGGATACTTACATCTATTAGGGGACCAAGTGACAAAAAACTGACAAGGCCTGATTCTGACTTTTTAAGCATTTTCATGTCAATTTTCTGCGAAGCTAAACTTGGAGATATGGAATTTTTTCTAGTAGATCTACATTTATCAACTTCATCTGCATCCAACAAGCTGTTTTTCCTTTTCACTTGTTCTAGATCAATATTATCCTGACTAGATTTCAGACTGTTTTTTCTTTTACTTGCACCATCTTCATGTGTGCTCAATAAGATGGCTTCTGCTTCGGCAGTGTTTCCGCTTACACTGTTCTTTCTTGGTTTTATAATTTCAACATCAGGTTCTTTTGAGTTGTTGTTCCCTTCTAAGCTATGTTTTTTCTCCTTTTGGTCATCAAAATCCCATTTATGATTATCTTCAGTGTTTTCTTTAACAATATCTGGGGGGGAAAAAATTTCAATTATATACTAATTTCCTAAATACTTTACGTGGTATTCAATGTTTTGATGATGTGTGGAGTACAATACAGCTAAATGTGTTAACTTTTGGTTTCCACTATAGAATATGATATTATTGAGTCCCCTTAGCACTGGTTTAAATCAGAGGACACAAAAACTGGCTGCTCTACTGGACATGGTATGACTATGAAATAACACTTTAACTTGATGATAGAAAAGGGCTACTAGTGGTGTGCTAATTAGTACATTTGTTAAAATAACGTATAGAATAATTGGGTAAAATTTATTTTTTAAAAAGTGTAGACCAAAATGGTTGAATAAGATAAAAAATTTTTTTTACCATTTGTGCATTTTAGTTCTTGACTTCCTTTTTCCTCCTTGCAAATCTCTTCATTTTCAAAGCTGGATTTCAAGTCATTGTCAGAAGGAACACTAATAACAAATAATACTTTAGCCATCGTTATGGCTTCTGTAATTATCTAGATGTTTGGCTGTGGATCTATTTAAAAAATAGAAGAACAAAATACATTTTTAAACATTTAATAAATAAAATCCACTTAGGCATGCAGAATTTATCAAATTCTTTTATTTTTTTATCTGATTGTCATATATGCACCATAACTAGACCTAGGTTTAAATATAAAGACAATAGGTCTCATAAAAAAATAAAGTGAAAACCTTTTAAACTTTATTTTGTAAACGACATAGGCCTACATCACTACAAGTACTAAGTTTGACAGATCATAACATATTTAAATGAATATATATATATATATATATATATATATATATATATATATATATATATATATATATATATATATATAAATAATATATATTCTATTATAATTAAACAGTATTAGTATATTAGGCAAATGAATCATTTAAATTAAAAATGTGTGTGGTAACAAAAAAAAGGTGCAGTATATAGTAATACTATAGATATAGTTTATAATAGTGAAGTCAATTAAAAGATCTATTCTATATTGAATCTAGACTATATCTGTAGTAATAGAATCTAGTATAGTAGTAGGGTTGTCGGTATCGGCCGAGATCGCGGTAAAAACATGACCCGAAATCGCCCATTACTTTCTGATACCGGCGCACGAGATTTGGTTTTGCATACTAATAAGTTTTTAATTTATGGTAATTAATTAAGTTTAAAAGGTCATTTCCTAATGTTAAATGAAAAGTAGAATGGTTTTCCCATTGTTTTGATGGCTTAGCGATCTGATTGCACGCTGTCTCTGCTTTGGTCTTCCCCCTGTATGAAGGCTAGTTTCAAATACGTTGGAATCACGATTTTTTAAAAGATTATTCTAGGTGAGAGTAGATTACTGATCAGACATATCTTAAGTATGTGGAAATGAAATTTGTTTTTGGATATTTTGACTCCGACATTAGTTATACTGCTCCGAACGTAGTCACTGTATGTAGGTCACGCTGCCACCATTGTTATATTTTTTCATCCCGATCTTCCGGCCTTTAAGTTTGATCAACTAATAACAGCATTCTTATGGCATGTGCAAACAAATCTCCTAATTTTTTTATTTCAAAATATATTTACATACCCATCTTTAATTTTTTCAGCTCTAGTTCTAGTTTTGCAGAATATGTTTTTCCTAAAATCCAATTTTGTCAGACTAGACTGACAAGAGTCAGACCTAGATCTAGGTTACCTGTCTGTTGCTATACACTAGCATTGTGCTAACTGTAATTTTAAGTATTCAAGTTCTACTTACCCTTAGATATAGTTATATGCTGAAAATCAGAATCCATACACAATTCACATATAAAAACATTGATTTATTACAAAATTGCTTTTATATGGACTCTACTTCACCTGCCCAAAATAACAAGGCAGTTATAGACACATTACAGTTACAGTGTTCAAGTCATTTACTTTAGATTTCTGACTATGGAGTTCTTTCATTCACTGTATTTATATAAAATATTGCTTTAGAAACATTTTCATATTTGCGCAGCAGTTTTATAACAAAATGGCTTAAAGATGGACTCTACTTCACCTGCCCAAAATAATGAGGCAATTATATGCACATAACAGTGTTCAAGTCATTTACTTTAGATTTCTAACTTTGTAGTTCTTTCATTTGCTGTATTTATATAAAATATGGCTTTAGAAACATTTTCATATTTGCGCAGCAGCTTTATAACAAAATGGCTTAAAGATGGACTCTACTTCACCTGCCCAATATAATGAGGCAATTATATGCACATAACAGTGTTCAAGTCATTTACTTTAGATTTCTAACTTTGTAGTTCTTTCATTTGCTGTATTTATATAAAATATGGCTTTAGAAACATTTTCATATTTGCGCAGCACACAGTTTTTTGGGGTTATGGGAGGAAGCCAACACAAAAATATAAGTTCTGTATTATTTTTATTCATTTCAACAGCATTTACAAGTTCTATATATCATTCTAGTTAAACTCTGCAAATATGAACAAAATACAACTGCAAGTAAAATAACTATGCTCAATTTATTCAGGTATACCATGACTTGTCACAATTGGCCAATGCAAAAGAAAGGGAATTCCACCCCTCACAAAAAAATTCGCTAAAAAAAAACTATTTGAGCTAGACAGAAAATCTTTTTTGTTTTGTTTTCATATAGTTGAGCTCTACAAGAATATGTAATTTTTATTTTTATATTATGATTAGTGTTTTTTTACCTAAATCCCTAAGTCAGAATCTAATTAATTAGGCCTAGATCTACTAAATAAATACTAAATACTTAATACTAAGACTTGGTTCTGATATTTATTTATAAATTTTATAGACTATAGTATACAGTATCTAGATCTAGATCTATATACTATATAGTCTATAGGCCTAATAAATAGTTTAGTGATTCTAATCTACATATCACATAGGCCATAGGGCATAGGCCTACACATTAATTCATTATCTGACTAGATTCCCTAGAATTTAAATTTAAACGTATCGATCAAGATTCTAGATCTACTAAACAGAAACTGTAATATGTGTTTATAATTATTTTATTGCAACCCTTTGTCTTACCACCTTGAGTCAGGAACATTGATCTACTGATACTCCTAGATAGCCTAGATTTACGTCTATTCAAGTAACAAGTTCGACAACTAGATTCTATGTTCAGACTCTTTCCTGTGTAATTTTAATACCTGGCTTTTTGAAGTCACTGAAGCGTGACAGTTTTTAAGTAATACCCTGCCGTTTTTGGCCTAGATTTGTGTAAAGAATGTTGTGCATAGCGGCATTACACAAGTTTCATACCTGTAGTGTAATTGCATGACAGATTACACGCATTGTTTTACTTTACTGAAGTGTTCGGCTAGTTGTAGATCTAATAATATATGACGAGTCAGTGAGTCTACTAGATTTCTAATATTAGTTACTAACTATTACTACACAAGTAGATCTAGATCTCAAATCTATTTATTTATTTAGTATTTAGCATTCTAAATAAAGTAGTCAATTTAGATTTATATTTAGATTCTATATTTACTATTTGTTTTTAGCTTTAACCCCGACAAACTGGTAGACAGGCAAACGCTTATACTTCCTGGAAAGTTGAAACAACCAGATTCAACATTTAATCCAGTCCGACATAATTGCAACGCTCGGTTTGTGTTGAGTGTTGGTGAGCGTTGCCAGAAAACGAAAGTTGAAACCGAACCGCTAATACTGGCTAATAGTAATGAGTGTTAAAATCAGGGTTTCTTTTAGGCATCTCTTCCGGGTAGGGAGGGGGGGGGGGGTGGGGGGAGCTCGTCTACTGTCTCTCCCTCCTAAACAAAGTAGAATTTCAAAACCGCGCGTAGATCTAGAATCTAGATTAGATTCAAATGCAAATGGCGTTCAATTCTTTTAAAGCAGGGGTTCCCAACCCCGTGCCCGCGGGCACGATGGCGCCCGCCGAACGATTCGTATGTGCCCGCCTCTCACTATTCGACAGAGACAGAATTTTTTTCATAAACATTAGTGAAAGGTTGAAGGGGATGGAAATCGAAAGTTTGAGGGTGGGGGGGGGGCGGTGCCAATCGAAAATTTGAGGGGGGGGGGGGTACAAATCGAAAGTTTGAGGGGGGGTGCAAATCGAAAGTTTGAGGGGGGGGTGTAAATCGAAAGTTTTGTCCCCGGGTGACGGGAAGGGTCGCTACGCCTCTGGAAGGAGTTTGTCGATTTAAAATAGGTGGTGCCCGCCACCCTACCGATATTATAGAATGTGCTCTAGAGTAAAAAAAAGGTTGGGAACCCCTGTTTTAAAGACAAGAAATTAATAGTATTTATTTTAATACTAGATCTAATAGGTTTTTATTTTTAACCTTTATATCTAGATCTGTATAGTAGTGTATAGACTGGGCTTTTTGATGGGCTGCTCTTCGGCTTGACCACATAGATCTAGAATAGATCTCTACCTACACATACTGTCACACATCTAGAATATCGCTAGATTTAGAAAGTTAGTAAGAACGCGTGCTCAATTTATTTATTTTTTTGTCGGCCCATACTAAAATTGTCTATAACAATAGATCTAGAATCTAGTAGGCCTACACTAGTAGCCAGTGTTTTGGTTACGTTTTTGTTATGCACAGGACACAAGTAAATCTTCAGATGAAATGAGAAAGTTTAACCTAGATCTAGAATCTAGGTCCCTATATATATCTACTAGTAACAATGATATGTTCGTCGTCTGCTAGGCCTAAATACTCGATACAGGCCTAGAATCTAGATTATGAAGTGACAACTCACTCTCACTATCACTATGCGGTTGTTGTTTTACGCGTGAAAAGAAGTTTCTTAAATCATTTTGTTGTATCATTCTTATTTTAAAATTTAATTTTTACTTACTTTAACTAAACAAGTATGTATAGATCTACATACTCACCGTTTTAAGAAAGTCAAGAAAAGAAAAAAAAACTTTGAATTGATGAGCGCCTTTAGTTGAATTTTTTAGTTTGAATACTCTCATATCCAGGAGGCAATTGTTCCGTGTGGAAAGCGGGTGGACTTTTATATGTTGACCGGGGCATCTGGTGCGCTTTGTTGTCAAGGAAAAGGGGAGGGGTGGTGGTGGCGACACATTAGGTGCCGGTCAAAAGCAGTTCACGTGGCCACGCCTCAAGCCGCGCCCCTACCATCTTCTCACGTGCGCTAAGCACAAACAAAGACTCCTGTGTTCGCGGGTATCTCTTGAATACATTTTCTTGTTTTTGTTTCAACCCGTTTGAAGTTACGTCTAAGAATGGATTGAGTAGTCAGCCATACTTTTGGTGGGTTACGTTTGACATCATCGCCTAAGATAAATGACACGATTTAAAAATAAATGAAAAAAACAAAAACAAAGCCTAACGATGATAAGGACGCCCTTCACTTTTAAGTTCAAGTGTTCATTAAAAAAAAAAACTTAAAATTAAAGACGTCAAAGTTCTGTTTTAATTAAACGTCCAAGCTCTCTGAAGACAGTGTTCTCCAAACTCTGTACGCCTTGCAATTTAAAAAAAAAAATCTACTACATTCTTATTTCCTAAAATCGAAAATCTGCCCTCCTAAAATTCAATATACACTTGTTTTAAAATGCAAAGTCTTAGCCATCTAAAACAAATGCCATTAGTTAAAGTAAAAGTATCCTCTATCTTCATTTTTACCCCACCCATCCTCTCTTTTTAAGTAGGATGCGAGGAGCACCGTCAAAACAGCCCATCACAAAATAGCCCCAACAGAATGGCCGCGCCGAAGCGACCCCGACAAAACGACGCAGTCAAAATAGCCTCCACAAATGGGCCATGGCGAATTGGCTCCCGTCAAATGGGCTACATCATATGGACTCTCGATCTTCCAAAAAATGGGCTAGCAACTAATGGATTCACGACATTAAGGCTCTCGACAATTGGACTCCGACATATTAACTCCCGACAAATAGGCTTACGACAAATTGGCTCTCGACAAATGGGTTTACGTCATATTGGTTCCCGACAAATGGGCTTACGACAAATTGGTTTCCTGCCAATGGGCTTACCCCAAATTGTCTCCCGACAAAAGGGCTTACGACAAATTGTCTCCCGACAAATAGGCTTACACCATAATGGCTCCCGTCACAAATTTTCTGTGGGTTTTTTAAAGCTACACATAGATCGCCCACACCAGCTAATCCTCTAATCCACGATTGCAGCACAAGCTTCTTAATCCACCACGAGACCAGCCAAACGATCCCAATAAAGATAAGATAATCTCCTTACAACAAAGATAAGATAATCTCCTTACAACATGGAATATTTGTGTTGGGGAGGTGGAATTTGTACGGGGAAGTAAGATATGGCCAGTCCCTTTAAAATTCACAAAAGCGGTCTTACAGTGAAAGTGAACGCACTTTAAACTTTAAAGTGCTTATATTGATTTTTTGACACACTTTAGTTGAGTAAAGGAATATGCGTATAGAAAACTCTAGAAATGCCAGTCCGTTTGTATCTATAATATGGAAGGACTTTAAAAGCTTTAGGGTCTTTGTATTTTAACTAGTTACAAAGCCTGTCTGACGACTTTTATATTTATAGTATAATTTTAATTTGAACATATTGTAACTGTATGCATATTTCCGAATGTATAAAATGTCAAATGATTGTAGAGAACTTAGTAGGCTACATCACCGTACATACGATTTAAGACAATGATTTCAATAACTGAAGTCTACAGTTTTAAATAAAGACCATCTATCTACTGTAACTAGTAATATACAGTGGTTTTATTGTCGTTCAAAATGTAATTACATGGTTATCTTTAGTAGGTCAATTTTACAGGTGAGTGATCATGAAGAATTTTTTTTTAAGGAGTGTACTCGGTGACTTGTGATACTGACATTGCTATGTCACATTTTCTCCCCGTTCGCCCCATTCCTCCCCTCCCCCACCCCATTTCCCACATCTACATCTGATTCAGACAATAGAGAAGCCAGGAGTAAACCTTCCTATTTACGCCCACAATACCGGGTTATCTAATCGGCGGGGAAAACATTGGGCCCTATCTAAGATCTAAAGTGTCTGATGATTCTTACACGTTTGATTTTCTCTGATTGACCAGCGCCCGGGGGTGCTGCCAACAAACTGTGACGTAATCTATGAAAAGCTACGATTTAGGGAGGTGGGGGTGGGGGGGGGGAGGTAGGGAGGGGCAGCATAATAATGTGTGGACAAGGAGAGAGTAGTACGTTGGGTACAGCAACAAAGGGTGGTAACTCATGCGTTCGGTAAGAAATTCATGTTTGAAATATGATGTTAACAACTTGAGTAATAAAGATGCTTAATGCTAAATAACATGGCTACTTTTATGACTCGCTGTTTTAGTTATGGACTTTTATATCGCGATCTCCTTCAGATGGTATTTTATCTTTTAAATTTAAAATTCAAGATTAATAGGCAAACGACTACTTTTTAACGAAAACAGAAACATGTTGCGGTTGGTGACTTTTTATTCAGTCTGTTTCTCGTTTAAGTTTATTGTCATTTGGCAGAAACACTTACATTAATAATTATAAGGCAATAGTCTCTACATCTAGTATAGACCTAAAGGCCCACGATGGTTATTTTACATTATAATCACTTTTTTTACTGACAAAAAGCCTTTTTTTTTTCGCTTCAGACATTTAATTTACAGCGTCAGTTTGCCTTACATGTTCACTTCAGTATTACAGTTTGAATCATCGGCTTGTGATGACTGAAAGATTTACAATAGTAATACTTCTTTCTTACATGTAGCCTACTTTCAATAAATTAAGGTGGTTTTCTTACAGAATCTACATAGATCAGGGGTCGGCAACCTTTTGACTCGAAAGAGCCAAAAGTTACAATTTACAACATTACCAGGTTTTTAAAGAGCCACTAACATTTTTACGTCAAAGTTCTGTTTTAATTAAACGTCCAAGCTCTCTGAAGACAGTGTTCTCCAAACTCTGTACGCCTTGCAATTTAAAAAAAAAAATCTACTACATTCTTATTTCCTAAAATCGAAAATCTGCCCTCCTAAAATTCAATATACACTTGTTTTAAAATGCAAAGTCTTAGCCATCTAAAACAAATGCCATTAGTTAAAGTAAAAGTATCCTCTATCTTCATTTTTACCCCACCCATCCTCTCTTTTTAAGTAGGATGCGAGGAGCACC